TAAACAAATACCGAGGGTACTAAAAGTTCCATCGCGATCGGTCGCTTTTTGCCCGAGTTATTCACGAAAAACCGAGGGGGCTCCCATGTGCTCCGTTTGAGCCTCCCCCCCATATAATCGCTAGGGTTTAATTGCCCACGCGCTGAATGTCCACGTGCTAGGTGGGGGCGTGTGTGGAGGTGTGCGGATTACGTAAGAGCGCGCTGCTCTGGGGGCGGGGCAGGCGGCGGGGGCGCGGTGAGTCAGCAATCTATCGACTGACAGGTCACCACGAGGCCCGGTAGCACTCAGTAGGGAGCAGGTTGGTCAGCATAGATCTTCATAGCTCAGATACGATATCTTAGCAATGTTATCTGTCTGTCTTATCTGCACTGAGCTTCAGTGGGGAGCACATGGGTCAGCATAGATCTTCATGATCTTAGCAATGTTATCTGTTGGATAAACGAGTAACAACATGATACAGCAGCCATAAAACCTATGCTGATTTTTTTTTTTTCGCACATGATTTTTTAAAAGGCTGATCACCAAAAAATAAAAATAAAAGACCTGGTTACCAGAACTGACACCAGAAAGCGCTTCTTCACTCGCGATACCTGCTGGCTTGGAACGCTCTTCCTGTGGCAGCTGGCTCTGCCCCAAACCTGCCCAAGTTTAAGAAATCCTTCATTTGAACTTGCATGACAGATCATTTTAATTAGCGTAAAACTTTCGCTTCCTATCTTGTAGATTATCTTTGCTTCTGTTATGTGTTGTTATTTACTGTATACCATCTTGTGTTAACTACCTTTGTGTTTATTGTATTGTATTCATGCATATTATCATGGAAGACGCTCAAAACCAGCTTTCTTATTTCATAATCGTCATCAGGCAAGAACTGGTGCGTCTAGGATTCAGGATTCCTGTTCCTCCTCCTCACTTCCTTCCTGTCCTCCATGACACTGGAAACCCAGCCAGGTGAGTTAACCAGGTGAGTAAACTGACAGCAAGTCATCGATTGATATGTTCGCTGACCTTGTACCATTTTTTAACATTTTATCAACGAGTTGGAACAGTTTCAGACGCAGCACCCCGGCATGCAATAGGTATAACATATGATACATATGACAAGCAAACAGCGGCGTTAAGTTTATGCCGGTTACACTGCGCTTGCAAATACGCAATTCATGGTTCGTGTTAGAACCGAGCTCGCCCGCCGTGGCTTCCTTTTTCGTGCTAGTAAGGAATGGAATGGTGTTTAGTGGTTTTTAGTGTGCTTGTACTTTTGCTATGTGGTTTTAACTAGATATTTTATATTTTTATTTCGCATTGTATATGACGTGGAAGTCATAAAACCCATTGTATGGAGACTCCGAATAAACGTCTGTCTGTCTGTCTGTCATGGTTACGTATAGCCAGGCAGGTATCCGTCTACAAAGTATTACCTACCGTGTTTCTCGGCGCTTCACCTGGCCAGCATTCACAGCAACACAAACCTCTGCATTGGTACCAACACCTGCAATGGTACCAACACCTGCAATGATAACAACAATTGCAATGGTACCAAACCTGCAATGGTACCAACACCTGCAATGGTACCAACACCTGCAATGGTACCAACTAGTGATGTCAGTTACGGAAAATCGGAATACCGATACCAAACCAAATACCAACCAAAACCGTGGAGAAATACCGAAACCAAACCAACTTGGGAACATGAGGGAAATACGAACTTTTTACCAATTTCTTAGCCTCTTATGCATTAGTGGGGGTCCATGATACCAACAAAATACCAAACACATTAGGATTGAAATACCAAATACAAAGTTGGTATCGGTTTGGTATTGGTATACCAAAAAGTCGGTATCCAATTGACATCTCTAGTACCAACACCTGCAATGGTACCACCATTATCCTCACCAGTACCAGCAGCAGTTCCAGCAGCGCCATCACAAATCGAGAGGTGAGGTCAGGGGTCACAGGGTGCGCCCCCTCAAATGGCCTCCGTCCTGACAGGGCTGACCTCGGGTGGGGAGGGGGCGGGGGTGATCCACACCCACCGCAGCCAAAGGGCATCAGCCTGACCTGCCAGTGTCGCAGCGGCTGCCAATTTGTGCCGGAGACTATATCGGCTGTCAGCGAGCTGCTCTAAAATCGATTGTGGCGTTTAGGTTATGCTCTTTGCAGTTTAATTTTAAACGCTTCTAATTAGCACACCTGCGCGGGTCCGGCCACCTTCGCACCTGCCCTACCCCCGTGATATTTCGAAAACAAAACAAGATAGCGACAAGCTATCTTGTAAACGGCGTGGGATACAAACGGATAAGGTCTACAATTTTTACGGCCATTTTCAGGCCATGCCAAAAGTGACGTCACAGGGATCGAAATAGTCAAAATAGCGGCGTAAGATGTCAAGAGACTATTGTGCGCATAATTTTTAAACTAATCAAGCAAGATCAAAACTATCATCGGGATCCACTAGTCAATCCGCATCAAAATATGTGCCTATATGTTGAACTCGAAAGGCCAAGGCCAAAAGCTGACCCAGGTCACGTGGCATTAAGATCTACATGTAGATCATTCGATGCGTCTTGAAGAGCTGAACATAATGAGACCATTGACACGAAGTACGGCGAAAAAGTGGTGTCGTTTAACCCCACCCCCCACCCCACCCCCACCCAGTAACAAAAAGTGATTTGAGGCTGGATCATTGAAAGTGACCTGGTGACCTGATCTTAAAGGTTTGGTAAACCTTGCACACATTGCGTGTAATTGATGAGGACACAGTCATGTCAAATTTTGCGTCGCTAGGCGAAATTTTTTCGCTAGAAAATATCACACAGCCCACTCATCCCGGTGCACGATACTTTTTTATGAATCTGATGCCAGTTTTACCAACAGAAAAATAGCCGCCTGCCGGAATTTTTTGCCTAAAGACCGTTTCACATACGGAGCGTAAACGCGATGGGCACGTAAGCGGGTAGGAGTTTGCCGTTTTCCGTATGTGAAGTGGCCTTTGGGCAAAAAATTCCGGCAGGCGGCTATTTTTCCGTTGGTAAAACTGGACTCAGGAACATGCTAGCAGCAATCGGCTGACACTATGATGTGGATTATGAAATATGCAGATTGGAGAATACGGTAACCGGGCAAAAGATCGTAAAGCAGAAGCTCGTAAGGCAGAGGATCGTAGGAAGTTGATCGTATGCAAAATGTCATAATGCATAAAGATCGTACGGTATAATGCTCGTATGAACAAAAGATCATATGCGCCAAAGATCGTCAGTGAAATTGATCGTATGCCAAAAGATCGCATGGGATAAAGATCGTACAGTATAGCCCGGCGGCCGCTGGGCCTCCGCGCCACCCGCCGGCCGCTGGGGGGGGCATAAAGTTGCCCCCCCCCCCTTTACTTCTGCGACGATATCGTCGCAACGCGAAGAGATAGAGAAGCGAAACTTTGTACACATCTTCCTGAATACCTAGCCGAGGTTGTGTCCAAATTTGGTGTCGATCCCATTTGAAATGACGTCACAGTGACGTCATAAGTGAAATTATAGATTTGCGACTCTCATATTCCTCACGATACATCACATATATGGGACCGAATATAAAGGGCCGATTATTGGTCAGAAACTAGATGGAAGTGTAGTAAGATGTTTTAGGATGACATCAGGTGCTGTCTAGTTCATTTACAGTCGAGTTTCATGCTCGGCGTCATCAGAAACGGTCCATATCGGAAAACGACAAAACTTTATGACGTCACTGTGACGTCATCTTAGGTGCTACAACCACCAAACTTTCCTCAAACATTGCCTAGGTATTCATTTGAAGCTATGCCAAGTTTCACGTTCGTAGCTCATCAGGTTTCGGAGATATTTCACAAAACGTAAAGGGGGGGACTTTATGCCCCCCCCCCCCAGCGGCTCGTGGGATAGGTAATGCTCATATGAACGAAATGTCGTTTTCGCAAAAGATTGTCCGTATATCGCATTCGCAAATATCGTATTCGCAAAAGAAGGCAAAAGATCTTTGGCTTACGGTCTTAAGTCGTGCGATCTTTTGCGACATACGATCTTTTACTTACGATCATTTTCTTACGATGGGTAAGCATCTTTTCATACAATCATTTTCTTTACGCTCTTTTGCTGACGATCTTTTGTCGTGCAATCTTTTACAACATAGATATTTATCTTACGATAATTTTCCTACCGCGTACGATCTTTTTTGATACAATCTTTTGTCTTACGATCTTTTGTCTTACGATCTTTTGTCGCGTGATCGAGAATACAATGCCAACACTGTACTATTACTAAGCCAGCCTGCCGTCACCAAACCGTGCAGGTAGCGACATCTATTCACCACACGCAGCGCACTCTGGTGACACTCGTTCCAGACCTTCTTCGATGTGGCCTTGGACTTTCGTTCGTTGTTCGTTCGTTGTATATGGTCGGCCTGCCGCCGGGGGGTGATTTCGGACGCTTTTTAACTTACAACCACTGCATTACTCAGCTAGTGGTTGTTGAATGCTTCGGCGCTATTAGAATACAGCTGTGCTTCTGACGCACAATGGCTGACCGCTGACACATCTTTGTGTAGTAGAACAGTACCGTGTACCACTGCTGTCCGGTGTCCCCCGTGTAACACCGTCCCCTTGCGTGACACCACCGTCCCCGTGTAGTTAACACCGCCGTCCCCTGTGTAACACCGCCGTCCCCTGTGTAACACCACCGTCCCCCTGTGTAACACCGCCGTCCCCTGTGTAACACCGCCGTCCCCTGTGCCGACATTCTACTGTCGCCGGTGTGACAGCTCCTTCGAACGCAGCAGGTAGGGATGGGACGACACATGGGATGGAGTGGGACAGGAAAACAGATACACCAGTGGGCGGGTACAGGGATGGGACACCGAGTAAACCACTGCTGGTAGGTGTGGCTGCAGGAACTGCTAGCAGCAGGGTATATATGTAGAACAGGGGCATACAGTGTAAAGCCCCTTCCTCAGTTTCTTTTTTAGCTTCACCAGCCTCACCGCTCAAACAGCCTGTCACACAGTCACAGTCACAGTCACAGTCACACAGTCACAGTCACACAGTCACACAGTCACACGGTCACAGTCACACAGTCACAACTCACAGTCACAGTCACAGTCACAGTCACAGTCACAGTCACAGTCACAGTCACACAGTCACAGTCACACAGTCACAGTCACAGTCACACAGTCACAGTTATACAGTCACAGTCACACAGTCACAGTCACATTCACAGTCACACAGTCACAGTCACACAGTCACAGTCACACAGTCACAGTCACAGTCACACAGTCACACAGTCACACAGTTACAGTCACACAGTCACAGTCACACAGTCACAGTCACAGTCACACAGTCACAGTCACAGTCATACAGTCACAGTCACACAGTCACAGTCACACAGTCACAGTCACACAGTCACAGTCACACAGTCAGTCACACAGTCACAGTTACACAGTCACAGTCACAGTCACACTGTCAACAGGCCGAGGCCAGTTATACGGCCCATCTACCGCTTCCAGTAATAACTACTACCTACAATCTACATACTGTTCGTTGTGGGCTCACAATCATTTAAACATTGTCCCTTTACTAGTATATAAGTGTATTTGCCAAGCATTTCATCATTTCGCCTGAATATAACTAACATTAGGATAACAGTCAGTACGAATGTGCCAACAAGCAGCATGGGTGTAACTTTGTATACTTTCGAGGTCCCATGTGGGACCCCAATGCGAACATTTGGGACCCCAATTGTCATTTTGGGACCCCAATAGTGGAGGCCCCCGAGACGCATCAGCTACTTTGCAAACGGAGGTCCGATATTCATATAAAAGGTTCTCTGTTTAAATAGGAGGCCCCTTGGACAAATGGGAGACCCTGTTGGACAAATAGGAGGCCCCCTGAACAAGTAGGAGGCCCCCTGAACAAGGAGGCCCCCTGAACAAGTAGGAGGCCCCCTGAACAAGTAGGAGGCCCCCGGAAAACAGGAAGTCCCCTGGAGAAATAGGAGGCTCTCTGGACAAGTAGGAGGCCTCCTGGACAAATAGGAGGCCCTAGACAAATAAGAGGCCCCTAGACAAATAGTAAGCCCCATGGACAAGTAGGAGGCCCTCTGTACAAATAGGAGGCCCCCCTGCAAAAATAGGAGGCCCCCTGGACAAATAGGAGGTCCTAGACCTAGACAAACAGGAGGCCCCTTTCACAAAAGGAGGCCCCTGGACAAATAGGAGGCCCCATGGACAAGTAGGAGGCCCTCTGTACAAATAGGAGGCCCCTGCAAAAATAAGAGGCCCCCTGGACAAATAGAAGGTCCTAGACCTAGACAAAAAGGAGGCCCCTTTCACAAAAGGAGGCCCCCTGGACAAATAGGAGGCCCCTTTCACAAAAGGAGGCCCCTGGACAATTAAGAGGCCCCCTGAACAAGGAGGCCCCCTGGATAAAGAGGAGGCCCCCTAAAAATAGGAGCCCTCTGGATAAATAGGAGGCCGCTTGGAAAATAAGAGGCTACTTTAACCAATAGGAGGCCCCTTGGACAAATAGGAGGCCCCCTGAACATGTAGGAGGCACGCTGGACAAATAGGAGGCCTCTTGGGCAAAGAGGCCCCCTAGAAAAATAACAGGTCCCTTGGACAAATAGGAGGCCCCCTGGACAAATAGGGGACCTCTTGAACAAATAGGAGGCTCCATGGACAAGTAGGAGCTAGAGGCTCTCTGTACGAATAGGAGGCCCCCTGGACAAATAGAAGGCTCCCTTAACAAAAAGGAGTCCCTTAAAAAAAGGAGGCCCCGGGACAAGTAGGAGACCCTTGGACAAATAGGAGGCCCCTGCACAAATATGAGACTCCTAGTCGAATAAAAGACCCCTGGATAAATAGGAGGCCCCTGGACAAATAGGAGGCCCCTGAACACGTAGGAGGCCCCCTAGATAAAGAGGAGGCCCCCTGGAAAATAGAAGCCCCCTGGATAAATAGGGGACCTTCTGGAGAAACAGGAGGCCTCCTGGACAAATAGGAGGTCCCATAGACGAATAGGAGGCCGCTTGGACAAATAGGAGGCGCCGTTAACCAATAGGAGGCCCCCTAGACAAACAGGAGGCCCTCTGTAACAGTAGGAGGCTCTCTGTACGTACAAGAGACCGGCGCTGTAGAAGCTTAGCCGTATGTACGCTAGGAGGCTCTCTGTGCAAGTAGTCGAAGTAGGAGGCTCTCTGTACTGTACCTACAATTACAAATAAGAGGCCCCCTGGGTAACTTAGATGCAACACAAATCGGAGGTCACCTATAAAAAAGCGGGACTCTGTTGGAATACCTGATTTAATAAATTATTTTCCTGATATTCAAATTACTTAGGTAATCCTCGTCCGCACATGGTGGGGGGGGGGCAGTGGTTGCCACACCCCCCACCCCGACCTAGGTAGTTTTTTTCTGCTCTGCACTAAACATTTTGATTGCTAGAAGTCGGATATTTCGTATAGCTGCTGCTCTATCCTTTTTTAGCGTCCACTGAAAATTTCAAGTTTCTGTGGTTTTTGGTTTCGGAGATATGACCTTATTCTTCAGGTAATGTCATAACCCAAATGACAAATACCCAATATCTTGCGTTGGCGTTGGGTCTTGTGAGCTTTTGACACCTTGATTTCGGCCTTTTTTGTCAGTCTTACCTCCCACCTATCATGGAACATGTTGTTCAATGATGTAGAGATGCCAGGGTCAGGGTCAAGGTCAACCTAGGTCGTCTAAAAATATTGCGTTTTAGGCAAGCTGAATTTACTTTCGTGAAGTTTCTTTGACTGTATTTTTGGCAAAAGCTTCTCAGTTCATGATCTCATGTAATATGGACACATTCACAGTCGGTGCACACATCAGTATACTCGTACACACAGACACACACAGACATACAAACACATGTCATTGACCTTGAGCTAACTTGACCTGAAATGACCACAGCCAGCAAAAACCTAGTCGGATAGTGTGACAAAGAGGTTCTAGCTGGCTTGGCACCACAATACGGCAGCGTCATCGGTACATGATGAGCAGCGCACGTGATATTCCAACGGGCAACGGTGACCCCAAACAGCAACATTCTTTAGTTTGACCTGACCTGGAAGGTCAATGACTGACCTGATGAGGTAAAATTGGTATCATTGGATTCGTCACTTCCCAAAGAAACTGTTGCTCTTGACCGCAAGGCTTAAAATCTTGTAAGAAAAAATTGTGGTGATGTCGAATAAGATACCTACACAAGCAGCGGGCCAACCCATCATATACCGATGACGCTGCCGTATTAGTGCCAAGCGAGCTAGAACAGCTCTTTGTCACACTATCCGACTAATTTGCTGGCTGTGGTCATTTCACGTCAAGTTAGGTCAAGGTCAATGATATGTGTTTGTATGTCTGTGTATGTCTGTGTATGTACTGATGTGTGCACAGATCGGTTTGTGTGTCCCTATTACACTTGATCATGAACTGAGAAGCTTTTACTAAACATACAGTCAAAGAAACTTCACGAAAAGTAAATTCAGCTTGCCTAAAGCGCAATAATTTTAGATGACCTAGGTTGACCTTGACCCTGACTCTGACATCTGTACATCGCAGAACAACATGTTCAATGATAGGTGGGAGGTAAGACTGGCAAAAAAAAGCCGAAATCAGCGTGTCAAAAGCTCACAAGGCCCATAGCCATCGCAAGATATTGGGTATTCGTCATTTAGGACATGACATGACCTGAAGAACAAGGTCATATCTCCAAACCCAAATGCCGCAGAAGCTTGAAATTTTCAATGGACGCTGAGAAAAGATAGAAAAGCAGCTATACAAAGAAAATCAGGTTTCTAGCTTTAAAAATGTTAAGTGTAGAGCAGAAAAACTAACTTGGGGGTGGCGACCCTCCCCCCAGGTGCCGGCGAAGGTTAACCCTCACACTTTCTGGGGTCGGCTTACGGCTAGATTCCTTGCGCAATGCTGTGCCGTTAATTTTTTTTCTATTATAAAGGCATTGTGTTTTATTGTCAAAAGTGAAAAAGCCAGAAATTTTCGTCGATTTCGGATGCCGCGGGGGATATTTACATACAATGTCACCCTGCTGGCCTGGATCCACCAGTAGGGTCAGGTGACCTACCATTTCTTTATCGATATTAAAAAAAAAATCATGGCATCAGAGCTGTGACGAAAAATAAGTGGCCTAAATCCGATGAGAAAACTGGATTTGGGGGTACCCCATGTTTGGCTTCTGAGCCTCTGGTCCCCCAATGAAAATTTCTTAGAGGAGGCCCTGGCGTGGCTCGTAAATTACCGCTTCCGCAATTGGAGGCCCCCTTGGACGTTTGGGACCCCAATGGTGATGTCAAAGTTTCACCCATGACAAGCAGCATATAAGCTTTAAAGTTCTATTTTTCTCAAATATAACTTTAAGCTATAATTGTTAAGCGGCTATATAGACTATTACTAAATCAGATATATTTTCTTCAATTGTAACTTCAGGGTAACAGTTAGCACCACGTAGTTAGAGGCTAAGAACATTAGGTAAAAGATAGGTAAATAATCTGTATATCATATCATACTTTTGATCCGCAGAAAAGCGCAGAGTTCCCCGCTCGAGCAATGTAATATAAGTAAGAGATCTCACTCTAACATTACACCAGTAGCAAGTGTCCGGATCGATGACCGTGGTAGCGGTATGGTGCACATGTTACCAACTGTGCATACATCACTGTGATGTCCTCCTTCGTGTGTAGTATCCATAGGCTGGCCTGATCTTCATGTCTGATTTCTTCATTGACTCATATCCCCTCCACGTGTACCACCATACTCCAGTTTGGTCCACAATACCGCCGTCCCGGTACCGACCGTTCAGACTGCTGTACCCGCATCTCCTGCCGTACCACCAGGCCCCCTGATGCTTCTGTGCGCAGTGACCGATGATCATGTCCTGGTCACGGTCACGGGTAGAAAACTTGCTATCGACGCTGTACCACAGACAATCCCCGGTATTTCCCGAGTAGTCGGAGGCGCTCAGTGCGTAGCCATTGAGCTCAGACGAGATACGAAACTCTTGGTATATGGCGTATCTTTGATTGCCGTCAAACGCCTCTAGATCAATACGAAGTTCGTACCGTCGGCCTGATGACGTCAGCTGAAATAGGTGTTCTAAACCCCACCAGAATTCTTTGGTAACATTACCGAAGCCTTCCTTATAGTCCCCCCATCCGAGGAAGAAGTCCTGGTGGGGTTTGATGTCGTCTCTCCGCTGGATCACCGTCCAGTTCCCTCCGACAGTTTCCATGTCGCAGTAGGCCTCGACGGGTGGTTGTGTGTTGTTACCACTGGGCAGAAGGAGGTAGACTCCAGACGGGGAGTCGACAGGAATGTCGCTGCAATCACGGGGAGGAGGCAGCTGCTTTACCTCGGAAACCAGGTGATCTACGTTCTCCTGTATGGCTGTTGTCTTATTAATGGTTTCAGCCAGCTGGGACACTGGAGTGACAGTCTGTGATGTCGTGGCATCACTATGATTATCCAATGCGACTGTAGTCACGTTCTGAACTGATTTCTGCTCGTTCAGCTGGTCACTGAGCTCGTCCAGTTGTGATTCAAGCTGGCTGTTGAGCCTGTTGGCCAGTCCAGACACCTTTGTTAGTTGATTTTCTAGCCAAGTTACATTGGATTCCAGTCGTTCCGTATTGCCGTTCACGGTGGCTGCAGTCTCCTCTTGTTGGGTTTTTTGGTTGTTCAGCTGGGTCTTGAGCTCGCTCAGTTGAGATTGCTGGCTATCGAGCCTTGTAGCTAGTTGAGACGTCTGTGTGAGTTGATCTCCTTGCTGTGTGACGATGATGTCTAGTTGCGCTCTGAAGCTGTTCACTGAGGCTGCCGTCTCGTCTTGTTGTGATTTTTGTTCATTCAGCTGGGTGTTGAGCTCGCTCAGTTGCGATTGCTGGCTGTCAAGTCTCGAAGTGATTCCAGTCAGTTGACCGGACAGCTCTTCCATCTGCTCACTCTGTCTGCTCCTTAAAATGTGGGTGGTCCATTCAGTCACTCGAGAGTCGAGTAGAGTCAGTCTATTGTCCAGCGACTCCACTTGTGACTCGAGTTTTCTGGCGATAGGCCGTAGCTCTTGCTGAACTGCTCTTGCGATGATGATGAACATCTCGTCGGCAGTGGCGCTGGGCAGGGCGGCCGGCTGCTGCGGCTGCTGCTGCTGCTGCTGCTGCTGCTGCTGCTGCTGCTGCTGCGGAACAGCCGGCAGACACCACCAGCAAGGTCGACACGAGGATTCCTCTCCAGCCTCTAGCCATGGTGGCTCAGTAGGAGGAACCGCCAGCACCGGCTGCCGACCTCGGACTGACGGCTCGGAGCTGGCAGAAGGTCTTTAGAGCTCGGTGCGGCTGACCTCTGTCGGAGGCACCACATCCGGTGACGCGGCCCGGTCCCGTGACCGACAAACTGAGCGATAAACATTTACAAGTTGCCATGGACCAGTCTGTTATTGAGGACCTCTTGCTGCTCATGGCAGTTCTGTTTACAGTGACTTCTGAAAGCTTAGATAAATGCGAGCAGGGAAAGGTGCAGGGATGTTTTGCCATAGCTTAACCCGCGCACCGACGGGGTGTGGGGGCGGTTATCCGCCGCCCCGCTGAGGCTTTTCATGAATAGAGGAAAAACCGCGGCACGCATCATTCGTGATCATTGACCAACCTTGGCTACTTTGGTGTCTTAGTTCCTATTGGACAGCTGTAAGGTCACTCTTAATCCCTCTTCTCGAAAACTATCACCTATTCCATTCCCGGCCTGGTCCAATGTAGAGAAAGAGCTAAAGAAATGTGAGCCTCGTGTTGCGAACAGGGGGGGGGCATGGCTTCCCGAAACAGGCTGGGGAGTTTTCAGAAGGGCAAAAAGAAAAAAAGTGCCCAAGATACCATCAAGTCAGGTAAGTGGAGACATGGTCCCTACATTTTTGTGATAAAAACGAAATTGAACCACCTCCGATGACCTCCGATGAACTCGGCGCCTTTCCGTCATTTAATTTGTGTGTTTGTTGGTTGGTTGGTTGGAGTGGTTGGTTGGTTGGTTGGTTTGCTTGGGTTTTATGTAGGTAGGGACTAGACTCAAATCTGATATCCATTGTACATATGTACCTCAGATTGGAGACTTATGGAGACTGTGCGCCTTTAAGGACGCGCCACTGTGCGTTTTTGAAAACATGTTTCCTACTTCCTAATCACGCACACTCTTCCTTTATTCTCCATATCACAAAGCTGACACACTTCGGGTGAAAATGACATTGAGAAACGTGAGCAGCGAACATTTTTGATCCTAATGACGCACAGGTCAGAAGCCTACCCTCGTATTCAATCTTCCTAAACTCGGGATATATCGAACACTGCATTATTAGTTGCAGCATTTTTTGACCATTTAGTCGCATCGACTTTTCACAGAAAGATGTCTCATTACAACAGATATAAGCCAAACTTACTGTATCGACTCGCACGACGCACGTGGTGCAGAAAAGGCAGACGCGTTGGCGCAGCGCATTCAGCTGATAATAATCAAACTGTAATGACATCTATATAGTGATGATTTCCTTGCTCTCGTGCGTAACTAGGAGCAGTGCGGTATAAGGTCACTTTCCCCTACAATAGTTGCTTATGAAAATATTTCTCTTCAATTATAATTGTAACCTCAACAGAGTGACAAAATTTATTTTACCAGCATCTTGTTATTATCGTAGAGACGCGACGCATGAACTGTGCTTTGACCCTGAAAATTATTTTTCATTTTTTTTGTAACTTTTTGAAACTTTTTATTTTTGAAATAATTTTTGAAACCCGCCCCGGGCCGGTGTTCAGCGACTTCCGCGCCGGTTCGGGGGAAATGTCTGAACACCCCACCCCCCGTCTAACTCGGCTCCTGGGCCACGTAGTGACACGCAGTAAGCGGCATTCGAAAGAACGTCAAAAATAAGGACGGAAATACTCTGGGTCATTTTTTGGGTCAGGTCAAAGGTTAGGTCGCCAGAGGCCATCAAAGGTCGAATTCAGTCCATTTCAACAATTTTGGAAACTGCCAACGGCTAACTCGGGAACCAATAGAGCTACAGCCCCGGGAAAATCGCATTCGATAGATCTTTTACAGACCTTTCTGAGCCTTGTTCTTAGATTTGACCTCAGGTCAACGGTTTAGCCTACAGAGAGCAAAAACTTTAGAAATAGCCGTTTTCACGGAAAATGTTTTACGGTACTAATTTTTTGATTCAAGGGAACTACGACAGTACTTTTGTCAGGATCGTGTTCCTCTTGTCAAAACGCGTCGAATAAACTATAAGTTGACCTTGAAAGGTTATTTGAAAATTTGACCTCAGGTCTAGGTCATGACCTGACCGAAAAGGGTCATGTTGCATATTAGTCGATCCGTATCGTCGAGCTGAACACATCTGACGTCTTTTCACCGCTCTAGCACGTCTCTATCAAAAGTTGTAGCCAAAACACTGCTGGTGACCGTTCATGACCTGACATGACCTCAGGGGCACACAGAGGGATCACAGGTACATTTTTCCGATTCAGTGTGTCATGTTTATGACCTATGAACCAATGTGCCAGAGGGTTTTGAACGACATTCGTCCAAAAGAGGCGCATTTCAAATTTCTCCCATTGACTTAGGACTTAGGTATATGTAGGTAATGGAGAGGTCGCAAAATTAATCTGACCCTAGGTCACCGATATCAAAATTTCGAGATAAACATTTTGTAGGTACTGTTACACCGATCAATTTCTGAAAGTTGTAAGGCTATTGTTCAGTCGGTGTAGCTATGACGAGGAGTCAAACTTTTTCTGAGGTGAGGTTACTTGACGTGACCTGGTGACCTGACCTAAGGCGACCTGGGTCTGACATTTTTACAATATGTGAAAAAAGATTCATAAAAAGGTGTGTCAAACACGGCGGAGCTCCGTGCCGCCGTTTTTGAGATAGCTGCGAAAAACCGCAATGGGGTGTTCAAACACCCCCTGCTCGGCGCCAGTTACCCCTCGTCGGCACAGGCCATTTTGTGTCCTTCGACGGCACAAGTGGTTTTCATAAGGTGGATCTGAATTTACTGTTTTTTTTTCTGGAAATGTCAACATAAAATAAATTGATATACCTAAAAACAATGCTGCATTTAACCCTATTAGTGGCAGGGGGGTTGTTTTTATCCACCCCTCAGGTTTTTCGGGAATATCTCCGAAACCGCTGAAGCTACGATGCTGAAATTTTCTGACTTTTCCTAAAACTAAATTGGGCACATTCCCTGAAAATTTCAAGTTCATAACTTTACCAGGGGCGGCTCCAGAGCACTGGGAATTGGGGGTCCTATTCGTGAAGCGAGTCATTTGGGCGAAGATCACGATGCTGCACCAGTTTTACGAACAGTGAATGAAAGGTATCATGTGATAACATATACAAAGTTATTGTGCATCCTCTTTTGACACGTTTTTGCCATAATAGGCGGATCCAGGCGTCCAAAAAGGGGGTTATTTTTTACCTCCCAACATAGGTGCCCTGACACCGCCTATGCATGACCAATACAATTTTAGTCGTTCTCTCATAAGAAAATTGTAACATAACAAGACCATTGCCACCCTTTTTAGAAACAGTACCAACAAAACCCTTATTTACTATACTTTTTGTGTACCCCCAATCTCAATGATCTGTATCCGCCTATGATTTTTGAAAATGCATATTTTTAGGATCCATGTGAATTCCTGGTTCATTCTCTATCGATCGGCAAAAGTTGCGTTAAGATTGGTTCAGAAACCTGGCCGTGATAAACAGTCTAAAATGTATCTGCAATTTGCCCGTTTTTACCCCCCTCTACCCCCCTATTGACATTTTTAATTTTTTTTAGAAATGTAGATCTCGTAGAGCCAAATCGAATGCCGTTTGAATTTCGAAAATCGGCCGGTTAGCTCTCGAGATATCAAGGGGGGGGGGGTCGTAAACAGCCCCCCCCCCTGCCACTAATATGGGGTAGCCAGGAGCCTGCCACTAATAGGGTTAACACCTGCTCGCCGATGCTGAACCTCAACCGGTGCCTGCCGCCATTCCATCTTCTGCAGGCAAACAGATACATAAACAATCACAAAGATGTAAACAGATAGACAGAAAAAAATAGACAAGCTGTAAGACAGGCAAATAGCCAGACTATCATAAAAAGGCTATCAGCCAGACAGACAAACAGACAGACTGGTGAGACCAGACAGATCAGACAGATCAGACAGATCATACAGACAGACAGACAGACTGAGTGACAGCGTAGGTGACATTACCATCTGACTACCCGCTGATTTGTCTGAACCATGGAACTGAGTGACATGTCGGACAGCTGCCCCGCCCACAGAATGCTCGGTATATAACATGACATTTGTTCAGAACTGGCTGTGTGCCTGCAGCTCGCCCTCGACCATGAGGGCTCTTCCGTTTTTGGTGCTGCTGTGCGCAGCAGTCGTCGGCGCGCAAGGTAAGGTGTTTAGAGTTGTAGGTTAACTCTGACAAGCAAGTGCGTAGTATCGAACCATTTCTGTACATTGTTGGGCCAATGTTGACTGGGAATGTAAAGTGAGACACAAAGCAATCAACCTATAAGTTGACATATATAATCATTTTACAACATATGAACTATATATACTACTGCAATGACTTGGATTCACTTTCAGAAAATCATAAGGAATGCCGAGAATTCGGCGATATTTGCGGAAAGTACAAGAACTGCGTCCCAGACCACAGGGGCTATCTGCAGTGTCGTGACCGCCATCAGCTCGGTACGTTTTTACTTTGTGACGGTTTTCATTCTCTTGCCTTACATTTTTGTAGGTTTCATTAGGTCGGAATTGAGTGGAAGGAAGTAAGATGCGTAAGATAAGATGAGATACGTATGCAAGCATTCAAGATTATACCCAGAAATTTCCGTTAATCTACGGCAGACGACGCTCGCTTCACTCGCTCCATAACATATCCTTCTTTGGTAAGAAATGTCAATGGTCATACGCCTGATTGTCTATAAGTGTTTCGGTTCGGCAGACGGCGCAGCCCATTTGTGCCGCTTTGGTGGTGACTGGTGTCCCGATGGAAAACTCTGCAAGAAAACATCACACGGTCGACGCTGCGTCTGGGATCACAAAAACGAACGTGAGTGGATAGCTGTGTTGATTTATTCGTAAAACAATTTCCAGCGTACACTTGTTTATTAAAAAAAATGACGTAAGTAACTAAGTCAAGATTCAAAGTAAAACAAACTGCAAATGTCACTGCTCCAGCAACTGTACAGCGAATCTATCCCGGAAAACTCCCAACAGTGCTTCAGCTCACTTTATGCATGTACTTTTTCTACAGATGAAATAAAGAAATGTTCCAAAAGCCGGGTCACCAAGCACTGCGCCCACGGCCGTAAATGTATGCACTGCTACCTGCGTAAAGGGCTCTGTTGTCGACGTGCGGCCATCATAGGTAAATTAATACTATTCTTCAGCAGAACAGGATGATAAGCCGCCTTTCGGTTATGTTTTTTTCTATGCCACTTGTGATTACACGTGCGTGACGTGCGCGCTGCATATAGTTCATATAATGGGATGCAATGTTCGAAACATAGTAGAGTTCAACTTCATTTAATTCTAATGACAACATGGAAAATTTACTGTCATTTTCTCTCAGTTGGGACTTGGGATGCAAGTCTCAAGTAGCTAAATGATATCCTGACTTTCAAGTCACATTTTACACCGCAAAGCGTTTTTCTGGTAAGATTTGGTAAGAACGTAAATTAAACATTCTCATAGGTAGTCGGTCTTGGCGCTAATTCATACTTTGGTAATTTCTTTCCCAGACCACAAGAACTACTGCGGCATTAAATACAAGAGCCACGACCATACGACATGCGGACATCATCATGATAGAAAATCCTCTTGTTACCTTGTCGGGAAGTTCTGCCCCGATGGCAAACACTGCAAGAAAATCGGCCATGGCAAATATACCTGCGAGTCCAAAAAGAAACGTGAGCTGATTTTTTCACTTTCCATTTCAACTCAGATTTCTTGCAAGTAACTATATAATCATAAAAATGTCTACAGCGATTGGAAATTAGGTTAATATGAAGTATATATCATATGTATGCCACAATATTTATATTGAAATGTGTGCATGAGTTCCAGTGTATTTACGCGTTTTATGTCTTCTTTGGGTGGTGCGTTCTGTGATGTGGAATTTGTCCACATAATGAGCTGTCACAAGCATAGAGTAAATGCATATTTTGTATGTGTCATATTTATATTTTTCAGTTCCCAAGTGTCACGAGTTTGGTCAGCTCTGCGGTAAATATCACAAGCGCAACTGTGTGCCGTGCTTCAGCAGAAAAGGCCTCTGCTGTCGACGACGATCGAAACTGGGTGAGATTTGCATCATAGGTTTTCATTTTTTGTAACGAAATTACGTTCATGAAATTACGTTCATCATCTCAAAATACGTTCATGAAATTCGTTCCTTAAATTACGTTCAAGAAATCGGATCATGTATGTTTTATATGTTATCCCCCATGCGATTGATTGATGTGAGCGAATAATAGGCTCTCGCATACAATTTTCTGACTTTCGAAGGGGTCTGCTTCAGCATTTAGATATGACAAAAAGATAAAGTATTGGGGAAATTGGCTTCAACTGATTCGAATACATAAAATATCACAATTAATTTACTTTAATAATGCATGTCGAGATGAGCATTAGCAACATTGCAGGTACGTCGCTGACGTAATTTTCACTTCACTTCCAGGTCCAGCAGCCAAACATTGCCGTTATGGCGGCAAATGGTGTCCAAAGAACAAAACGTGCAAACAAAAATCCAGGAACGGAATCGTCCTTCGCCGCTGTATTTGTAAGTGGTCGCTATTTACGAGCATTGCTATTTCTGATTAGACTATGAAAACTATTTAACTAAACTATTAGACCTGAAGCTGATTTTTAGTAAGAATGAGTGCGTAATGCGTATGTATGTTTTTTTTTTTCATTTGTATGTGTGTCGCGTTTGTTTTTCCCTCGTTTTTCGTACCTCACATAACTAAGAACTGTAAAAACCACTTCCGTGTGGATAGTTCGTGCTTTTACAAATACAAATACAAATACAAAAGACTATCTTATCTAGCTTCGGGCGCTGTCTTGTTGTGATTTGTTTTGTACTTTGACTCATCCACATTACTTTTCTATATAAAAGAAGGTTGTGGCTGACTCCACACTTCCTCAGGTATTCCTAGTGGTATTAGCCGTTTTCACGACGGTCATCTGGTACACATTTGATGCACATTTGGTGCAGATTAGGTGCAGATTTGGTCAAATCCGGTCCCGTAGCTCAGTTGGAAGAGCGTTGGACTCCGCGTGGTGAGAGCACGCGTCCACGGTTATAACAGTCCGGGTTCGAAGCGCGACGGGCGCTTGACATTTATGGGCCTCCTGACAGGTATGGTTGCGGTTGGTGGCAGGCCGTAGCCAGGCGAAGTCAGTGAGGGGACCGGCCGTGCGCGGCTATGTGCGCACGTTAAACTTTGGACTCTAAATTCTGCCATAGAACCGGAATTGCGCGATCGGAGGGTAGAGGGCAGGGTCACCGCAACAAGCTTCGCTTAGCGGTGGCTCTGTCCTTGTGAATCCTTCCTATCAAAAGGTTCGGACTAAATTAAAAAAAAAAAAATCAGGTTCAGTGTGTCTCTTACTAGCTATCAGCTAGGGTTGCACTAATTGCTTATATACCTGCCTTGCCCTATTATCAGAGAGCATCAATGATTAACCCTTTTAGTGGCAGGGGGGGTGTTTTCATCCACCCCTCAGGTTTTTCGGGAATATCTCCGAAACCGCTGAAGCTACGATGCTGAAAGTTTCTGACTTTTCCTAAAACTGAATTGGGCACATTCCCTGAAAATTTCAAGTTCATAACTTTACCAGGGGCGGCTCCAAAGCACTGGGATTTGGGGTCCTATTCGTGAAGCGAGTCATTTGGGCGAAGATCACGATGCTGCACCAGTTTTACGAACAGTGAATGAAAGGTATCAGGTGATAACATATACAAAGTTATTGTGCATCCTCTTTTGACACGTTTTTGCTATAATAGGCGGATCCAGGCGTCCAAAAGGGGGAGGGGTATGTTTTACCTCCCAACATAGGTGCCCTGACACCGCCTATGCATGACCAATACAATTGTAGTCGTTATTTTAACATAACAAGACCATTACCACCCTTTTTAGAAACAGTACCAACAAAAACCTTGTTTACTATACTTTTTGTGTACCCCCAATCTCAATGATCTGTATCCGCCTATGTTTTTTGAAAATTCATATTTTTAGGATCCATGTGAATTGCTGGTTCATTCCCTATCGATCGGCAAAAGTTGCGTTAAGATTGGTTCAGAAACCTGGCCGTGATAAACAGTCTAAAATGTATCTGCAATTTACCCGTTTTTACCCCCCTCTACCCCCCTATTGACATTTTTAACTTTTATTTTTTTTAGAAATGTAGATCACGTTCAGCGAAATCGAATGCCGTTTGAATTTTGAAAATCGGCCCGTTAGATCTCGAGATATCAAGGGGGGTCGTAAACAGCCCCCCCTGCCACTAATAGGGGTAGCCAGGAGCCTGCCACTAATAGGGTTAAACACTGAAATAGGTTCATAAAATGAAGATATTTGCTGTAAAAGAGATTAGGTGCAGATTTGGTCAAATTAGGTGCACTCGCCGGATACCCCTCGTTAAAACGACTATTATGTTTCAGAATAACCCACGGGCTGTAGCACATCAGGCGATGGAACATTTGTTCACCTCTCTCAAGCATTGGGATAAGAATTGTGATTCCACGCTAATTTTGTCGTTTTTTATACAGACATCCCCAGGTGTAAGCATTACGGCGATACATGCGGTTATAAGAAGAACAAGGTCTGCCTGAGGTGTGGCCACAAGCTCTGCTGTAAGAAAGGAGTCACCAAGGGTGAGTTTAATTACGACTCACAGCACCACACCCTTTCGCTCGATCTAGCGCAGGCATATTTAATATTTATATCTATAATATTTTAGGTGTTTTCACGAGGTTTTGGGCAGGAATAGTCTCGGGAACATAGTTTTAGAATCCATTGTGGAGTCCACTTTACCGTTCCATTTTCCGTTGAGTTATGAATATAATTGGTATCGCGTGCTACACAAAGTATTCATTTGTATTCATAGAAAAACATCACAAATACCATTGGTAGGTCCTGGTGATGGTCGGCGGATCGTACTAAATTCGATTCGTCTGGATTGGTCGATTGTGAATTCCATTTCAAATGGGTTATCAGGTAAATTAGATTTTAATGCATGGAATCAAAGGCATTCCTTACTGTTCTTAGAGAGAAAAAAAGCGAAACCTGAGTGGCTGGCGTGTTTTTAATGGAGCATGACAACATCAAATGCTGTTTCAGACAAATGTAAGAAACATTGCAATGTATTCTGGAAAAAGTGTACATTGAATAAGTGCGGCCACAACTCCAAGGGATGGTGCTGCAAGCCATGGAAAATCACAAGAGGTAGGCAACTGAAGGTGCAATTAGAGAAAAACCTAAAAACGTCTTTAAATCACCACGAACATTTGTGTAATCGCATGCGCCGTGACACGGCAACATCTGTATGTGCTTTCAAATTTCTTAAATATTCCGATTTTTTAATGAAGTCAACGTGAACGCCAACTATACGAGTATATGTATGTGTTACAATATTTCGTTTGTGTGTGCCTTACAGATGCGCTGACCTATTGGTTGAGAGGGAAATGGCACTTTGCATGCGTTTTTAGCGACTGTTGTCCTTTCAGACGAATGTGACCGACACTGCATCGGACGCTGGAAGTACTGCACCGATAAGGGCTGCAGCAAAGACTACATTGGCTACTGCTGCAAGTCCCAGCCATACATCACAAAAAGTAAGTGAACTCGCTAAGCTATGAAAATGAAGCAAAAGTGGCCAAAATCCATGTATGTGTGGTAAAAAGTAACGTCGAACACATATAATGTTATTTGCCGTTTGGTATCGATCAGTGCCATGTTGTGTGGGGCTAAAATAAAAATGTAAACCGTCACTATGTCGGATAAAGCGTGCTTCACATAATTCACGACTTTAAAACATTTTATCTTCCCATAAGTCACAACTAACAGACAATATCAACAAACGCCTTCCACTACCAAGCGATGGAGCATATACTCGAAACGCATGTCGATTGTCTGTCGTCTTTTTCAGAGCTATGCCAGCAGATATGCTACGGCCCTGACAAGTACTGCACTAATAAATTCTGTCCCCGGGACATCCGAGGCCACTGCTGCAAGACCCGACGGCCGAGGCCGAGACCTCAGAGGCCAACAGCTCCGCGTATGTGCAGTAATTCCACCAAAGGAGTGATAGAAAGTTTATAGAAGGATTATCCATTGCGACTGTTTTGCAAATTAAATAATATTAATAATATTCAGGCAAAACAGATGCAAAAAAATATATATATCATTTTGATGGAAATTTAGTCAGTCTGATTGCATAATTTGAGCTGTACTTTGTCGCTACTAGGAAATGGGTCCGTCTCAGTCGAGGATTCTTTTAGAATGCAATCTTCTATATTCATATATTTTATTTATGAAATTTCTTTTGAGTATGCCTACCAAAAATATTTATACTATCAAACGACATGTGTAGCACGCGAACTACGTCATGACCTGTGCAGAGGGTTGTTAATTGGTTTGTTCCTGTTGCTCAGCTAAAATGAATTGGACTGCACTGAACTGAACCGATGTGTCCCGCATATGCTCATTTCGGTATTTCTATTTTACAGACGTTCAGTACTGCAAGCACGCGGGTGATTCGTGTGGGTACAAGGGAGGCAAAGTCTGCCAGCGGTGTTCCAAGGCGAAACTGTGCTGCCGACCTGGCGTGACAATGGGTAAGACGAAATTCCAAACATCAGAATTTGTATAGAAAAAACGGCTGTCTCTCACATATCTTAAAGATAATGCTACGAGCCCTGGCATGGCGCTGCATGCTCTCAGAACAATTTAAAGATGAAACGTTTCATTATTTGTCGTTGACGTATCAGGTAATATTTCTCTCAATGTCGTGTTCATAAAAATATAACCTGTTTTTGTTCACTGTCTCGAAAGAAAATCATGTTTTTATTACGCGAACCCCCTCCCCCTTCCAAAAAAAAAAAAACTAACAATGACCCAGTTTCCATGGGCGCCTATGAACTGTATCAGTAAAAGTGGACTACCTTATCCATTATGTGTATAGGCGCAATATGAAAATGAATATGAGGGTGGTCATTTTATCATTTTATATAGCCGATCCTCTTTTACGTATAGCTTGTGACAAGGAGTTCGAGAAAAGTTATGCTCCCGATTGACCATGGACACGTGGTAAAGATTGGATATTTTCACAATATAATCATTTCCCTTATCCGTAAGAGGTTCGTGTGCTAATTTGAACAATACGGCACAAACGATCCCGCTGTACAAATGGTGACGAAAGACAACTGACCTTTGACCTTCTTCCAGAAAAATGCAAGAGGACTTGCACCGGCAAAGGGCAATATTGCTCTTTCACTGAATGCCCCAAGGCTTTCAAAGGATGGTGCTGTACTTATTGTAAAAGGATCAACTGTAAATTGTTGTAACTCTTTGTCCTTTCATGAGTTAAAGAAACAACGATAAAAAACAGCTATACATCTGACGATTTTTGATGATATGGCAAGCTTAACCAGGCGATTTTTTTCTGGACTTCTAGCATCTAGGACCACGAAATTAAACTAACTAACAAACCGAAGTAAGCTTATTCTTCTACGCTTACTTGTAAATTCTACATTCATTTTCGTGCCTGTTCTATATTCTAATATCTACATCCATAGCGTTATATGACTATCAACACGCACATTTTGCGCTATTTTGCTTTATGTTAGAATGATGCCATATACAGACGGAAATAAATAACGGTGTATTATTTAGTTGTGTTGTGTTTGATTTATCCTAGTGAAGTGATTCCTATTTCTGATATTCAGATACCCATCCAAGCAAATTTAATACTTATCTAAAAATAGAGGAAAGTATGCAACTCATGCATATATGATGAGGAGGATATTGTCACACAATAAACTGCAGCAAGAGCTTAGAGTGCCTGTAACGTAGAACGGTGGAACGAATTACGGGCCCTAACTACAAAATACTACGTTTATAATTATCACGATCTGTTTTTGGCAAAGGTTGTCCACCTTTTTATTATTTATATTAGTAGCTTTGGGAAGGCATCTGTGTTCCTTCATGAGCCTGTCTTAACCCGGCAGTTGCTGGGGTATTTCGGTTAAACGCCCCCAGCCGATAACTCGAGAACCAATAGGCGCAGCGAAACGCACGAGGCGGCAAACGAAAGAACGCGACGAGACGCTTCAGATGTGTACTTAAAAGTTGAATTTTGAGGTCACGGGTCGGGTCAAGGTCAGGTCAAACACCTGAAATCGGGCTTTCAGTAGCATGGACTTCAGGACTTCGCAATGGGCGCCTCTCGTCATAAACTCTGTCAAAACGGTGCACAATCCATCATATACAAGAGTGTATAAGAGTTCCAGCTCCATGTAGGGGTCAGTCAAGCATAGGTCAGGGTCAAGGTCAGGTCAACCCGGTAGGCACATATCCTCGAAAATCAAAACTGATATTCGCAGCCTGTGACACATGTGTTATGGGTAATTTGGGGCGTAAAACACGATGGTTACATTCATTTTATCATATGTGTAAGTGTTTGGCTCAAAAAGTTCAATTTAACCCTATTAGTGGCAGGGGGGGTGTTTTCATCCACCCTTCAGGTTTTTCGGGAATAGCTCCGAAACCGCTGAAGCTACGATGCTGAAATTTTCTGACTTTTCCTAAAACTAAATTGGGCACATTCCCTGAAAATTTCAAGTTCATAACTTTACCAGGGGCGGCTCTAAAGCACTGGGAATCGGGGGGTCCTATTCGTGAAGCGAGTCATTTGGGCGAAGATCACGATGCTGCACCAGTTTTACGAACAGTGAATGAAAGGTATCATGTGATAACATATACAAAGTTATTGTGCATCCTCTTTTGACACGTTTTTGCTATAATAGGCGGATCCAGGCGTCCAAAAAGGGGGGTTATTTTTTACCTCCCAACATAGGTGCCCTGACACCGCCTATGCATGACCAATACAATTTTAGTCGTTCTCTCATAAGAAAATTGTAACATAACAAGACCATTGCCACCCTTTTTAGAAACAGTACCAACAAAAACCTTATTTACTATACTTTTTGTGTACCCCGAATCTCAATGATCTGTATCCGCCTATGCTTTTTGAAAATGCATATTTTTAGGATCCATGTGAATTCCTGGTTCATTCTCTATCGATCGGCAAAAGTTGCGTTAAGATTGGTTCAGAAACCTGGCCGTGATAAACAGTCTAAAATATATCTGCAATTTGCCCGTTTTTACCCCCCTCTAACCCCCCTATTGACATTCTTAATTTTATTTTTTTATAAATGTAGATCACGGTGAGCGAAATCGAATGCCGTTTGAATTTTGAAAACTGGCCCGTTAGATCTCGAGATATCAAGGGGGGTCGTAAATAGCCCCCCCCCCCTGCCACTAATAGGGGAAGCCAGGAGCCTGCCACTAATAGGGTTAAGAAATGCATGTATCATGGTCGTGAAGTAGTCACGAGAAATTGCCAAGATTCAGTTCAAGATTTTGGAAAATGTGGAACGATAATCAATAATCGAAGATAGCCATTTGATACTTCATGGTATTGGCAGTCTAATGACGTTTACGGCATGTCTGTATGTCTATTCTGTGATTTTATATGATTTTTTGAACATATGCCGTTTTTGGTCGAAAACTCAGAAATCATGACGTCACTAAAACCTCGATATCTCAAAAATTTTCCGACCGATTTTTTTCCAACTTTGTCACAATAAACTTCAATCAATTCCCTACAGGTACCAAAAATTTGGCGTGCCTGCGGCGCGCCGTTTTTATGCTATTTCCCGGCGAAAAAAGTTAGGGCGTTTAACGCCCCCCCCCCCCCCCCCTCCCCCAGCAACTCGCGGGTTAAAAGCTAAAAATACATATAAAAGCCAACAAAAAATCGAAATGCGCCCTGCTAACCTAAAAATGTCTCCTTTTCAAATGCGCATGCAACAAGAAATAAATGTGTCAAGATATCAAATGCGTTCTCTTTTAGGTTACCACAACGAATTTTGATTTCTTTGTCGACCTTTATATGCATTTTTAGCGCTTTAGACTGGCTGATGAAGGAAGGCGGATGAAAACTGCCAATAAAAATAAACAAATTTAGGATATTAACCAAAAACATTAGCACTGTTCGAGCTCCACAACATGAACTACAACTATCAAGAACGCCTTAATTGATTTAAATTTAACATTTGCTAGCCAGCAACATATCAAGAAATTGCATATATGTAGGTGGTCATTCCGTAATAGCCAATTTATATAAAAACTATATATATATATATATATATATATATATATATATATATATATATATATATATATATATATATATATATATATATATATATATATATATATATGTGTGTGTGTATGTATGTATGTATGTATGTATGTATGTGTGTATGTATGTATGTATGTATGCATGTATGTATGTATGTATGTATGCATGTATGTATGCAATGACATCAACAGACTTACAGATATGGAGTGGCGATTGCGTATTTATCATATGCGACCTTTTTAACCCGCGCCCTGCTGGGGGTTGAAAACACCCCCCTCCCGCGGTTTTTCGCAAATATCTCAAAAACAGCGGTGCGAAGCGCCGTCGTTTCTTTTTACACCTTATCATACATCTTTTCTACATATTTTGTGAAAATTTTAGACCCAGGTCACTTAAGGTCAGGTAACCAGGTCAGGTCAAGTGACCTCACTGCATAAAACGTTTCGATGTCTGCCAAAGCTACACCGACTGACCGATCGCTTTGAAACTTTCAGGGATTGATAAGAGCAGCAATATGTACAAAATGTTTATCTTGGAATTTTGACATCGATGATCTAAGGTCAGGTCAATTTGTGACCTCCCCAGTCCCCATTATAAGTCAATGGGAGTAAATTGAAAGTCGCCTTTTTTAGACGGAAGTCATTATAAACACTCTAAAACACTGAATTACTAGTGTCTTTGACACACTGAACATGAAAATTGCACCCGTGACCCCTTTTTATGCACCTGAGGTCATCTCAGGTCACCAATTGTATCTGACTGTTTAAGTTTTTCGCGAATAACTTTTGATAGAGGCATGCTAGAGTGATGAAAACACCTTAGCTGTGTTTGGCTCGACGATATGGATCGACTGATATGCAACTTGACCCGTACCGGTCAGGTCATGACCTTGACCTGCGCCCTGCGGTCAAATTTTCAAGTTGACCTTTCAAGGTCAAGTGATAGTTAATATGACGCGTCTTGACGAGAGAAGACAATGCTGGTAAAACAAAGTTCGTGCAAGGTTTGAGACCAGCGTTATTGCAGGAAAACGGTTTCCGAAAAAAATCGGCTTTTTTGGCAGTTTTTGCCCCCTGCAGGCAAAACCGTTGACGGTAGGTCAAATCTTAGAGGACCATTCAGGAAGAGCGTTAAATAGGGATATCAAATGCGCCTTTCTGCGGCGCTGTAGCTTTATTGGTTTCCGAGCTGTGCGTCGATTTGTTGAAAATTGTCGACATCTGACCTACAAATCGGCGAATTTTGGCCTTCAATGACCTCTGGTGACCTGACCTTTGACCTGACCAAAAAAGTGACCGAAGTGATTTCTTCCTTATTTTTTGACGCTCTTTCGAACGCCGCCTTTCCCGTATCGCTACGTGGCCCAGGGGCCGAGTTAGAAGGGGGGGGGTGTTCAAACATCCCCCCACCAGCAGGGTGTGGAAATCCAGGACCCCCAGCGGGGCGCGGGTTAAAAATTGATGCATGATTAGCGGCATTTCTGAAGCCTCCTCCACAGGTTCACCTGACAACAGCGATCACGTTTTGCAGCGTACAGACAATCCGATCGGGCCCCTCGTGCCATGAGTGACATGTAACCTCGACCGATTCGAACATGAACTTTGGTCCGACACGGATTTTGGCGCGGGTCAGAGCGTGTGTCAAGGGGAGGGGATGTATCCTGTAACCGATGACGCGAGGCCAACTCATACCACCGTGGTTACAGTGGGCGGTGAAAGGCGACCTTTCCGTGTCAGTGACCTGTCAGATGTTCCCGAAATCTGAATGTTATTGTGCACCGGCCCACCAAGTGTTTCTGGTTTCATTGTCATGGACACGTGACTTGTACGGTAAAATCTATGACAATCGATCACACTTTTATAGACTTATGACTACCACACTTGGCAAAGTTGTCTACCACTGAGGGTGTGAGGGTGATGGCTGTCCTTGTATGAACTCACCAAGATTGTTTGTTCTTATCCTTTTCGTTGTTGTTTGTGCACCTATTTACACTGTTCAGCCTTTACAATAAAATGTATCATGATCGGCTTTACAACGACTGGAGCAGGCTTCTCATGCTGGTTGCCGGTAGTGGCATATCGGAGAAAGGATAATACGAGAACACAACAGCAACTTTTACGACGAAAGCACTCATGACAAGGCGTTCTACTTCAACATTGATCACATAACCACAGTTCCGCAAATATCGATTCAATGCTCTCTGATTTTTGCTAGCAATGACCTGATTTTTATTTGATCGGTCTGCTAAGCCATTTTAGTCTTTAAATACCGATACAGGACAGCTTTCGACGAAGCAAAGGGAAAAGGCGCATTGGACATAAAGCACTGCACCGTGCTAGGGCATTGCACGAGATGCGCCACTTAAGTTACGAGGGGAAATCACGCATTGGCCACCGGTCATGCTAACAGTCGTGCAAGGGCAGTCAGTCTAAGAGTATATAAGCAATCTATTCTAATCACGTTCTGCCCCTTTATACATGGTTACCGCTGAAGAGCCTTGCACAGAATACGAGGGATAATAGTTCACAAGAAGGCGGCGGGGAATTTCTATGAATAAACCACGCGAGCTGTTGACATCCCAACAAATTCCTTCCCCGAATCCCCTCATCTGATCATTCACGGATACACTAGCTAGGGACACTTGTACATTCACTGGTTGGCCTCCACGGCTAGTTCGCAGTAGGTACGGAAGGCGTCACATTTCTCCTCTAGGCTGCGCACGTGGACTGCGATGAGACTGTGTGACCCGACTGTAATGAGCTGCCTGAGGCGCTGAGTACTGCGTAGTGCAGTTCAGACGAATTGTCGTCGCGTAGATTGCCGCGGTTCCTTGCGGTGTCAAGGCGAGCCCACAGTAGGTGAACAGGTTCTCAACTTCTGAAGTGTGTGTGTGAGAGATGTAATTTTGGCATGAAAATGTCCAAACGGTCTATATTCAGACAAAATCAGCCCAGATTTAGCCAAGAGTTAGCCTTGATTCGTCAACATTCTTGACGTATCAGATCGAATTGAAACTCGCACACGACAGAACCTGGGGTACAGAATGCTTACCCTAAGCCATTCGACGGCACTTGCTGCTGCTCAACAAAGGTCATGAGTCATCAAAGGTCACAGTCCCCAAAGCTGCGCAGCACATTGTGACTCACCATGCAGCGCTGAAAATGGCGCCGAACGACTCGCCGTATTTTGAATTCAATAGGGCAGGTTATATACAATATGGCAAACTTACATTCACAGCTTATATTTTCTGATCAGGCTCAGACATTCATAGCCGATGGTCAATGTGCACCTTGTTAAATTATAATTCACCAGGCCCCAGGGAATAACGATGCTGATTAAAGCAATGTCTTACAAACGTGGTGACAAAAGCATGAAGTTCAAAACTGGAAAATAAAAATGAAATTAGGCGGAGTTCGCATCTGCAGAGGATCCGGCTCTGAGTCAGACATGCAATTTCATGGTGCACCTGATATCAGGGTTTTGATGTGCTGCACTGACACCCGCCAGCCGCAAGTGTTACACAGATCAGAATCTAATCAGAATCTCAGATGACGCTATGAACAGTGAAATATCAGTCATTCCCGACTTAGACATGCAAGATGTCATTGCGGAAATTGCCACTAGTCATGCAAATGTTTAATGGAAAGAAAGGGAGAGAGAGATAGAGAGAGAGGGGGGAAAGAGAGAAATAGAGAGGGAGACCGGAAGAAATACCGAGTTTATGATGAGAGACATGCTTACCATAAACTGGATAATCTGGATAACTGGGTATTTATGACTACCACATTAAACCGACTTCGAGGGTAGTTGGTCTTACTCTTACCTCACCCACGACCTCTAAGATTTCGTTTTGCAGGACTTCTGCTAATCAGAAGCGTTTCGTAGTGAGCGTTTGTTTACCGCCTCGTGCATCGTATACACAGTGGCTGTTGGTTCAGAAGCCGTGAATCGTGATGGGCTGGAGGGAGGGCGTCCACCCCCCCCCCCCCCAGCAGGAAATGGTTGGCTAAGTGTCCCATTTGGCCGATAGCACGTGACTGGGCCTTCAGCCAAACGCCGTTGGCTGAGGAGGATTGTTAACCCACGCCCCGCTGGGCTATTCAGCCATACGCGCCCTGCTGGGGGGGGGGGGGGGGGGGAGTGCAGATTCTGCCCCCTGTCTAACTTCCGAACCGATGCAATGGTCGTAGAAGGACGGAACAGCAATCGCAAGCTCTCAGCAAGGCGGATCTTAAAAGCCTTTTTTGCTTAAGTAGGTCCGAGGTCAGGTCAAGGTCAGGTCAAGGGTACAAAATGCAAGTTGCTACAGCATCGGCCTTGCACCGTAGTTGCCGAAGAATGGACTGAGACTAATTGCCCATAACATGTTCTTAGGCTACCAAGACAATATTTGCTGTATACAATATCATGCAAAGGTCAAGGTCAAGGTCAGATCAGGTCACCAAAAACGAAATATAGAAAAGGGCATTTGCGACACATATTTTTATGGGTCATTTTAATCATAGAATTCAAGAAGCACACTCAATAAGTGATATGGACCACATCTGGATGAATTTCAGGTCTAGGTCAGGTCAAGGTCAGGTCAAGTGAGGTCAAATTTTGAAGTTGGCTGTCAAGACCTAAATAGGTGTCTATCTGATGCAGTTTTTACGGTGATTTGAATGGTGCTATTTTTGTTTCCGTACGAGGTTAAGAACTTCCAAAAAATTCATTTTTTAAAAATTTGTTTGTTGTGACGTCGTAAAATTTTGAATAACCCACACATTTGTGAACCAATTCTTTTAAAAAGTGGTATGTAGGTGCACATAGACCACTTCTCTGATATTTATTCCATTTTTTCGATACATTCAAAATTTTTGATTTGATAATGATTTTCCCAAAAAATCAGTTTTTGAGGAAAAAAATTGGGCCAAAATTCAAAACTTACAAAAAAAAACGAGATAGCCATTTGATAGACAAAGTAGATTCACGTATAACCTATTTTGATACGTCTTGATTCCTTTAAAAATGAATAAATTGGTTTCGGCTTCCTCATATCTGCAGTTAACCATAAAACATATCAATAGTAATTACATACTTAATCAAATCATATTCCCGCAGAAACAACAATTTTAGGTGTCCTTCAAGAGTGTATGATTGTTATGTGAATCGATTTGCAATCAGATAACTATCCTTGAACTGAGCATGCAAAAAAGAAGTTTCGCTGAGTGGTACATTACACACGGTTAAATAAAAATTTAAAAATGCAATCATTATTCCAGTGCTGTTTAACAAGTTGTTTGTTTTCATCGTAACAGCTCTGAAGGCTTTCCCTGTAATGCGATTCTAGAAGTCATTGAATTTCACAGCACGTATTGACGGTAGGGAAAACCCAGGGTCACAGGATTCCCTCGACAACATCGCTTAGCAGCATGGCAGGTGGTGACGCATTAACTCCTCGATTCCTATTGGTCAACGAAAGTGTTGCGACTCTGCCCGCCAATATAAGGCACCGTCAGGGCCCCGAAACCGGTAGTATCGGAAGTGTAAAGGTGCAAAAAAATATGAAGGTAGTTTGTTTACTGGCGCAGTTGTGCGCAATTGTCTACGGGGTGGCAGGTAGGTTTGGGTTAAAGTGTTCTCTTATCTTCATTGCACTACTTTATGACCTGTTTTCTTTTGATTTTTTTCGAGACTTGAGGTCAGGTGATGCTTCAAAAAGTTACAATACGTTTATAAGGAATATTTGATATTCTAGTCCTGCCTGCTTCATTTTATAAGAATATTCGAGTCCTGCCTGCTTTACATTATAAGAATATATATTATAAGAATATGCATCTCGAAGGACGGGTGAAATCGTAATTGTTTGTCCCTTTAGGTATATTTGAACATCCTGACAATGTTATATGAAAATACCGGACTCAGTTGTCACACATTGAGCTTTCAATCATCTAAATGTGAATGCGAATATTATTTTAGAATGTGACCGATGTGGATCTTTGACTTTCTTTCAGGCGCTGCCTCTGATCCATGTCCGCTGGGAGGCAACTACTGCCCCGATGGCAAGATATGTCAGGGAAATACGTGTGTCTGGCCCCAGGGCACTGTCGGTAAGCTCAATCCCTGCATTTGTCATCTACATTCAATTAGGTTACAGTAAATTTATCTATATTATTATAGTAAATTTCAACACGAGTGGCACTGAGCTATAGAAGAGCAATTATGAATCCGAGATCTTAAAACGGAAATGTTAACAAGGCTCCCTTTACGAATCAAAAAGGAACCTAATAAAGGCTCCTTTTGTAATTTGTAAAGAAACTATTTTTAGGCTGTATAATATACAGTATACCCGTCTCAGTTGAAGCCACTAGATATAACTTAACCGGCTTAGGTGTGTTTCAATGTGTGTTTTTGATATTTTCTTTACATAAAATACATATTTTTGCTCACCTCGTTTTTTGTAGGCATGTGTGACTTCCTGTTCACATAGGTCTATGATGTATGTATGGATGTATTACCGTTATGGACCATCCACACATGGCGTGGCGATTACTGCCCATGGTTCCGAAGCTGATGTGAATGTTTTGCAGAGTACCAATGCACGACACTAGGTGAGACATGCGCCTCGGGCCGTGCGTGTATCCCCTGCTACCTGCGGGATTCGGAGCTCTGCTGTCGCCGAGCCGCCCTCCTCGGTAAGACACTGGGCCGTTTTCCACAGTATTTTTTTATAATAAAACATGTTATCTAATGACGGTTATGTTATTGATGACTCACCTTTTTTGCCGTTGACGTTGGCGGATTGAACACTACAGGTTATTTGGCTAAAGATTATGGGGCACAAGTGCGTTCACTATGCCTACATGGATCATGGGGCAATAAAATACATATGTACATATACCAAACTCTTGATATTCTCTTCAGGTTCTGACCCATACTGCGGGGAGCGGTACCAGGAAAATAATATGTGGAAGACCGGCACTTACTGTCCAGACGGAAAAGTTTGTCAGAAAATAAATGGTGCGCACAAATGTCAGTTCACAACACCACGTAAGTACCTTTCAAATTTGTTGTTATTGCCAGGTTATATCTCGTCTTCTTCGGCTCTCGCAAGCGCAGGTGTTCTTCTTTTTGTATATTTATCATCCGTCACACATTTATCTACTAACATAGGCATGCTCTCACTCCTATCATAAGCATATCAGTTCTAGTAAGTTCTTCAAAGCTTCAGCTATGCACGAATGTAATATGCAATATGCGTGTTCATTGTCCAATTAGTATATACATTCGACGTTCCAACACTTTCCCATTCGCGCTCTCATACACCGAACGACTCAACCCCGCCCTTGAAAACATGCATATGTATAATTCTAAAATCACATTTCTATTTCTGCAGAGCCCAGTTGCGACACTTTCGGTGACATCTGTGGCCTCGACAGCGACCGAAACTGCGTGCAGTGCTATTTCCTTCCAGGACTCTGCTGTCGCCGGCGCTCCAAACTCGGTTAGTTTGTTGTGGGCTACGGCTTTGTTACTATGACAGCCTGTGTCGGCTGCGTGAGGAGGGCCAGTGGGGTCATTATGAGGGGACTACAACTTCCGTAGGAAAATGTACTTGGATATGTAGTGTCACTGCAATGCAGAACACATATTAGCTGTTGCCTGTGGTGTTTTAGGGATGAATAATTAATTATCGTTATGTGAGCGGTTGTTCGACTGACACGCATACCTAGGTAGTTATACAAGCATACGAGGTATTAAATAAACGTGAAACGGTATGTTTTAGAAATTAATATGGCAATCAATCACCAGGCAAATTAATGCGCCCCTCTGGTGGCTCCCCACTGACGCTATCTGTACCCCCTCTGACGTCATCTGTACCACCTTTGCCGTCATCTGTATCCCTTCTGACGTCATCTGTACCACCTTTGCCGTCATCTGTACCACCTCTGACGTCATCGGTACCACCTCCGATGTCATCTGTACCACCATTGACGTCATCCATCTGTATCCCTTCTGACGTCATCTGTACCACCTCTGACGTCATCTGTACCACCTCTGACGTCATCTGTACCACCTCTGACGTCATTTGTTGTTTTCCACAGGGAGCATTGCTAGCGAGTGCCAGTACGGGGGCACCAACTGCCCGGGAGCGCAAACATGTCAGCAGACCACCGGAGCCGATGGATCTGTCACCAGGACTTGTGTTTAAGCGGACGATATGCATAACAAACATGTTTAAACGCATGCTTGGTGTAACGACCCAGCAGCACCTACGAGGGGGTATCGAAAAGTTCTGATCATCACATAGAAGATATAGACCGATTTTGATGATTTTTGGTAGGCATTATATTTGGTTCTCAAGAACAATGTTCCCGCAAAGAAAATCCTGAGAAGTGGTTTTATCTTATGTAGGAGAGACTTAGAAGTAAAAAAGATGAGCATTGGGCCCACTGAGGACCGAACCGTCATCCAACTAATGCATTTGAAACGGTATCACACTGATAAAATACATCAAGAACGTGAACTTAGTTTATGGCGAAGAAAGCCCATCTCATGCACTTACCGAAAATGAAGAAATAATTTTCAACTTGGTTGCATAGCCTTTGCAAGGGAGTCAAGAAGTGAGTGACTACCAGTGATTGACAAGGTGGTGACTGTGAAGGAAGTGGAGGACCTCATCCTTACAGATCGTCGTGTGGCCTTTCAGATGATTGTGCAACAGAAAGGTCTCAATGCTGGCAGTGTCTGAAAATATTATCAGCGAAGAACTACAGACGATAAAGGAGTCAGCCCGCTTAGAAGTTCGTGTGTCTATGTTCGAGAGAAAAATTCGTCTTGGCCTTTCGAAACGAAAACTAGGCCTTTTTTAGGGAATTGAAGACATCCTTGATCATTTGATGACTTGTGACGAATGCTGGGTCTATGTGTATGATTCAGAGACAAAAAGATGATCTAGAAGTTTAAGCACGGCACATCTGCCCTTCTTAAAAGGCGAAGATGCAGAAGCCGATATGGAAAGTCAATGCTCTCAGTGTTCTGGATCTGGCGTAGGATAGTCATTACCGACTGTCTTGATAATGGTCGGATAATGATAAGCATGCGCTACTGCACACTTTTGAAGAAATTGCGAGATGGCCTCAAGCAGAATCGCCGCAAAAAAAGCCCAAGAAAGATGTTTTATCCTCACGGACAGTGCCCCCACCCATTCGTCCTGAGCTGCGATTCAAGAAACAACATGATGTGGACATTAAATCCTACCGTATCTAACAAATTCACCTGACCGGGTATTAACTGACTCTTGATTGTTACGGGAGATGAAAAATCCACAGTATGGCCGGTGATTGAAGGACAGAAATGACGTCATTGATGAGGTGAAGCAGTGATTTACGGGACAGTGCGAAGGTTCTACAATGACCGCCTGAGGCAGTTCAAGAAACGATGCAATAAGTTTGCGGTCGTGTGTGGTGACTTGTGAAGAAGTAATGAACATCATATAAAAAAAAATCAAATTTGTATCACATCTAATTCATGGTGATGATCAGAACTTTTCGATACCCCCTCGTATAGTAAGGGTTGGAAGACACCAGCGACACCGCTACTTGAGTGTGCTTCGTGTGTATTTATGCTTGCTTATTTCTGTTTTTATGTTACCTTGCAAAAATCAATTTAAGTTGCTGTATTTGTGATGTATGCGTATCATCAAATGCATATATATTTTATTGGGCATTTTCAGCATTTTTAACGACAAAGTGGTTTAGAAAACAGACTTCCACGATATCACGAGCCCGGTAGTAGGGAGGCAGACGAAGACGGTTTGACGTTGCTTTATTTAAGAGCGATGCAAGAAGTAATACTGCTGATACGTACTGAGAGGACGGGGATTTTACGTAACAATCTAGAATTTTTTCTCACGCGTATATTTTCATTTTTTCTTTTTATGCTGCGACGCTGGAGAGGGTCAGGCTCTCGAAACTCTCTTGCGTTACGAATAGCACGCAAGCAAAGCTTAAAATAACTCAGAAGGCCACACATGAGGGGTAGCGTATCTCCCCCATGCCTTCTGTATTACGAACCGGCCCGGTTGACGAGAACACAATGGTAGAACAACGAGAACCATTCTTGCATATACGCTATGTTACCTTGTCTTTCTCAGAGGTCCCTGAACCCCTCTCTTCTATCTCTTTCCACCAATCTCTCTCTCTCTCTCTCTCTCTCTCTCTCTCTCTCTCTCTCTCTCTCTCTCTCTCTCTCTCTCTCTCTCTCTCTCTCTCTCTCTCTCTCTCTCTCTCTCTCTCTCTCTTTCTCTCTCTCTCTCTCTCTCTCTCTCTCTCTCTCTCTCTCTCTCTCTCTCTCTCTCTCTCTCTCTCTCTCTCTCTCTCTCTCTCCCTCCCTCCATACGCCACCGGCCCGACTACCCTCCTCACAGCTACCCGTCTGCCCTGTGCCCGGCGGCTACCCATCTGCCCTGCGGCTGTTTTCCTGGCCCACCTCTCTCGACACCGCCCGTCTCGCTTCCCGCCACAGTCACCTACCAGGCACGGAGCCATGAAGACCTCTCCAAAGTCAGTGCTGCTGCTGCTGCTGCTCTGCTGTTGGCTCAAGTCGTGGTCGAGCACTGCATACCCAGTGGAGGAGGTTGACACGCCCTCGCCAGAGTCGGCCCAGGAGAGTATGGGCCTGGGGGATGTCGTCCCGAACGAAAAGCAATCAGTTTCTGAAGATGTTCATTTGGAGACGGATGACTCGAGTGAAGACATCCAAAGCAGCCCTGGAGACGGTGAAAAGGTCTTTGAGAAGATGAATGTTATTCGTGAGAAGCTGAGTACAATGCATGAGCAGTTGCATATGTTTGAAGAGAAAGGAGATTCTTATGAAGAGGAAGAAGAGGTCAGTGATAAAGACGAAAAAGAAGCCAGTGACGAAGAGGAAGAAGCTGCCCTCAAGAAGGATGACAACAACTTTGATATGGATAAAGGCGCTTCTTCTGGAGAACAGCAGCATCACCACCAGAAAGACCAGCAAAATGTGAACAGTGCATCCAACAGCCAGGACACCGAGACGCAAGACGCTGTCAGGATCACCAGTGATGACAATCCAAGGACTGAAAACTCAGAACTTCAATCAAACAATCCCGCTCAAGTTAGTGAAGGCTCTGGGTTCCCCATTCCAGAGAACTGGACTCCTTCTACCAGCGATGCTGATTCAGAACTCCCGTCCAGTTTCGGACTTCTCGCACGCTTCAGTGACGACTTCCAGGATCTTCTCGATAATGTAGAGGACATCACTGTCAACCTGCAGGATCTTCACTCGCCAGGCGAAGTCGTGGAACCCTCCGCTACAGACTCCACCGACCTCAGACCAGCAGAAGCTCGCGCTGACGATGTTGTACCGCTCTCTGTCGTACCTGACGAACGAGCGCGCATCGCCGTCTTCCCGGCTCGTGCCAACATCGACCAGGCGCTTCTACTTCTCCGCGACCTGCAGAGGATGCTAGAGGAACGTCTGGACGTCTTTAACATCATGCTGGAACGATTCTACCTCGGTGAGGTGCGAACAGGCGATCAAGTATCTCAGATCAGAAACAGTCTCGAGGGACGCCGGCGTCATCATTATCATGACCATCATCACAACTTCCAAGGTTTTCATCATCATCACGATGATGACCACAGCCATGATGGAAGCGGGCGCCCAGGTGGTGGTCGTCGCCCCGGTGGTGGTCGACGCCCCGGCGGTGGTGGCGGAGGACGGCGGCCCAGTTTGGACGCTCATCAAGTCAGCGATGGTCATGGAGCTCAACAGTTGACTATCATTAACTTGTTCGATGATGAAGGAAATGATGATGGAGGGAAGAAAAAGCCTTGTTCAGGAAGGGCTCCGTGCTAGACCAGCGAAGTTGCTAGACCAGCGAAAGTTGCAGAGATGGTAAAATCACTAACCGGTATTTATGATGATGTACAAATGACGTGTTGATTATTCTAAGTCTACATATAACCATTTGTTGTTGTTGTTGTTGTTGTTGTTGTTGTTGATTAGTTGTTCTTCAAAAGACATTTGTACGCAGTTACCTCTCATTGGCCAGGAGTGCTTAAACAGAACTTTATTAACGCATGTAAAAGTGTTTCGCATTGAATGTGTAGCCGGACGTTTTTCTGATGTTGAGATGCGATTCTGAATAAATGAACATGGTTAATGGTTTGAAGTGTTTCCATTGGTATCTCTGCGCTCCCACATCACCCAATAAATATATCGGCAATCCGGCAATAATTATTATATGCGCTGAAAGCATAAGATTCATCGCTGCTCACTATTAGGAAGTAATATGCATCGGCCAATTAGCCCGCGAGTCACTGGGGGAACGATCCACATTCCACACCCCCACATTTTCCCCACACTATAGCTGAAAAAACGGAGCGCCCAAATTTTAGTTACCTGCAGGTGATCGAATTTTATTGCGAAAATAAAAGTTTCCAAAAAATATGTTTGAATATTTTGAGATAGTGAGGTTTTGTTAACAATAGGATTTGAAAATTTCGACCAAAAATGGCATACGTTTAACCCACAAGCCGCTGGGTGTGGGGGGGAGAGGGGCATAAAGTTGCCCCTTCAACGTTTTGTGTGATATCTCCGAAACCTGATAAGATACGAACTTGAAACTTGGTGTAGCTTTAAATGAATACTTCTCTTATATTAGTAAAAAGTTTAGGATTTGTAGCCTTTGATGTTGTAACAGTGACGTCATAAACTGTTGTCCTTTTCCTATATGAAGCGTTTCTGATGTCACTAAGCATGAAATTCAACGGTAAATGAACTAAACAGCACCCGCTGTCATCCTGAGACATCGAAGTAAACTTTCAACTAGTTCCTGACCAGTTATCGGTCCTATATTCTCGGTCTCATATGTCGGATATATCGTGAGAAAAGTAAGAAACGGCAATCTACGATTGGGTTTCTGACGTCACTGTGACGTCATTTCAAATGAAATTGACACCACATTTAGACACAAACTCGGCTAGATATTCAGGACTATGTGTGCAGAGTTTCGCTTTAGTCTATTTGTTCGCATTCTGACGATATTGTTGGAGAAGTAAAGGGGGCAACTAGTTGCCCCCCCCCCTCCCCCAACTCCCCCCGCGGCCGGCTGGTGGCGCGGGGGCCCCCCCGCGGCTGCCGGGTAAAAAAACATAAAATCACAAAGCAAACGTACGGACATGCGGTAAACGCCATTAGCCTGCCGATACCATGCACCGTCAAATGGCTGTCCTTGATTTACTATTATCGTTCTACATTTTATAGAAAATCTTTAACTAAATCTTTGTAATTTCTCGTGACAACTTCACGACCATGATGAACGTATTTTTAAAATTGATCTTTTTGACCAAACAACAGTCTTATGATAAAATGAATGTCACCATCGTGGTCTACGCCTAGAAGAGCCCATATGAACTGTGTTTATGCTGTGAATGCCAACTTTTACTTTTGGGGATTTGTTCTTACCTGGTTGACCTGACCTTAGCCATGACCTGTGCTCTAACTGACCCCTACATGGATCTGCCATTCGTGTGACATGTATATGAAAGATTGAGCACAGTCTTGACGGAGATTATGACGAAGAGACCCAATGCGAGGTTCTAAAACTCATGCTACTGAAAACCTAATTTCAGGTGTTTGACCTGACCTTGACCTGACCTGTAACCTCGAAATTCAACTTTCAAATACTCATCAGAAGCATCTCGTTGCGTTCGTTTGGCGCCTCACGCGTTTCACTGCGCATATTGGTTCTCGAGTTATCGTCTGGGAATTTTATCGCCCCTCCCCCCCCCCCCCCCCCAGCAAGTGGTGGGTGGCGAAATAGGTACATACCTCAGCAACTGCCGGGTTAAAAGACGCTTAATTTTCTACATACATAACCATTTTAGGAGTCTCACTGCTCAAAGATGTGCTATTAAATATTCAGTCTTAGCAAGTTTAACCTTTCAGAAATGTGCACATAAGTGTATCATATCGAGTTCGAGACTAATGTCTGCGCAATCAAATATCAATCATCATTTGCTGAATCTAACTAGAAAAGAAAACAATCGTTCAGTTACAAAACGTACCTATGTATGGTGATAATTGGGAGCCTTGACTTTAAGTATGATTTATTTGCATGACCTGGTTTCTGCTGATCTGTCATTATGCGACCACCGACCAGTGGCTAGATAATTAACATGCCTGAAAAGCGTTTAGCACGACTGCAAAACAAATACTGCAATACTCTGAGCGATAGAGAAATATGATTAGTCAGGTCGTTAGGGTAGACTGGTGTGTCGAAATAGCTGGAGAAACCAGATGCACGTCAAGTCACCATTCACACTCCCCCCCCCCTCCGCGGCTCTGCTGTCCCCTCCCCCCCGTCCCCTCCCCCTTCCCGGCGCCTGCGTCGCTTCTACGACCATCGAGCCATCATCGCCACACAACCAGGTAAATCGGACAGCGCAGCAGGCCTCTCTCTCTCTCTCTCTCTCTCTCTCTCTCTCTCTCTCTCTCTCTCTCTCTCTCTCTCTCTCTCTCTCTCTCCCACGACCCAACACAAACACTTCCCGTTGTAAACAGGACGTGTGTCTCTGCCCCGGGGGCCGTCATTCCATCAGGCCCGTGCGAATGCCAAGCAATCCGAGGTCAGTGAACCCTTTCGGTCGTCCTGCTCTCGAAGTACCATTTACTTGTTTGTGCGTTACTCGCTTGGTTTCTGAAGACAAAGGCACAGACACTTCACTCTCCTTATCCTCCTCCTCTCTCTCCCATCCTGTACTGATGCTCACCATAGTAGATGCTCACCATAGTAGATAGGAAAGAGGCATAGGGAGCGGATGCTCATAGGATGCTGCCTCTTCTCAGTGTCATATGACGGTCATATCTGTTCTTGAATGCGTTGATGCTTGGACTCAGTACCACATGTTCAGGCAGTTGGTTCCACTGGTCCACAACTCTTGAGGAGAAAAATTGATTGCGTCTGTGCAGCCGATGCCTTGGCTTTTGCAGTCTGAGAGCATGTCCGCGTGTCCTTTCCCTGTTTGTACTGGTCTCTAGTTTCAAAAACTCTTCTCCAGCATTCACCTTGTCATGTCCATGGACCAGCTTGTAGACTTCAATCATGTCCCCTCTAACCCTTCGATCTGCCAGTGATGTCAGTTTCAGTTGGTCTAAACGATCTTGGTAAGGGAGATTGGCGAGTTCAGGTACGAGTTTTGTCGCTCTCCTTTGGATCCTCTCCAACCTGTTGACATCCTTTTGGAGAAACGGGGACCAAGCTTGGATGGCATATTCCATGTGAGGGCGTATCAGTGTTCTGTAAATTGGCATGAACATTTCCTTGTCCATGAAGGTGAATGTCCTCTTCACTCTTCCCAGCATGGAGTTCGCTGCAGCTGCCGCTCTCGTAACCTGCTCTGATGCTTTGAGGTCTGGCGTTATTGTGATTCCCAGGTCCTTTTCTTTAATGGTTGAGGTAAGAGTGGTGTCCCCCATTGAGTAGGTGTACAGTGGATTTTTTTGTCCCGAAATGCATCACCTTGCATTTGTCTTCATTGAAGGTAAGCAGCCATTTCTTGGTCCACTGTTGCAGCCTGTCAATATCTTCCTGGAGGACAATCTGGTCATCAGGGCTTCTTATCCTTCGGTAAACTTTGGCATCGTCTGCAAAAAGTTTCCCACGTGACTGGAGGCCCTCCAGGAGATCGTCAATGTAGATCAGAAATAGGGTTGGGCCCAGGACACTACCCTGTGGCACTCCACTCCAAACCTCTCTCCATCCTGAGTGGCAACCTTGCACTGCCACCCTCTGCTCACGTCCAATCAAGAAGTCTGTTATCCAGTGCAGAATTTGTCTGTCCAAGCCCATTCTTCGTACCTTAGCAATGAGGTGCTGGTGTGGGACAGTGTCAAATGCCTTGCGGCAGTCAAGGTACAGGGTATCCACGCATTCCCCCTCATCAATAGCATTCTCAACATCATAAAGGTACTCCAACATTTGAGTCAGGCATGATTTGTTTGACCGAAAACCATGCTGCTGTTGGCTAAGCAGGTCGTTTGTCTCAAGATGGTTAAGATGGTTGTACTCTCTCCTCCTTAGCTATAAGACTGCATGCCGATGTTAATTAATGGGTTATCTGACTCCCAAGGTGTGGTAAGGGAGGCTGGAAACTGTCAGGTGTTTTGACTAGCCCGGTGGCGACTGACTGCCATGCTGCATAGTCATGCTGTCATGTCAGGTCATGTCATGCTGGCACTGACTGTTCGTGCGTGAATGTAGATATTACCTTTACCACCTCATAAGGAAGTCAAACGTTTTGATGATGTCAAGCAGTACAAAAAAGTTAAAGGCGGTAAAGTGGTCAACGATATACGCAATTCATAATCACAAAAAACATAATTCACAAAAAAGACTTAAGCCACATCAGACAAACAAGTAGATGTATAAGTAGTGTTGGTAAGCAGCTTTCGCTATTGATGAATGAAGAAGTGCGACCGTATTGTTGGGCAATTGTTTTCTTTTTTACCTGTTATTCCGGCGAGTGTAAGCGGCCCAGGGGCCATACACTGTCTCTAAATCAATATGACCCGACATTTTTTAGGTCACTTACGAGTATGCGGGCAATGGTCGCCTACCGGCGTATTTAATACATTATCCTAAGAGATTGGAAATAGGCATTAAATGGAAAAGTGGCGGGTTATGCCACTGAAGTCTGGATACCTATGGGGAAAAATTGCGAAGAGTGCATGAGCGGTGTGCAAGCACATAGGTATCGACGGCATAATTGATGGTACCCTGTTATGGACAGCAAAACGCATATCCCATGAAGGCTTCAGTGTTGGAAACTGCATTCAATTGGCGCTATCTAATGCTACTGGAAAGCAAAAATAAAAAAGACACTAAATGGTTGAGACGATAAAACCAAGCCAAGTCATTTTGGGAGGTGAAATACTTGCAGTCGCACCGCAATGGCAAAACAAAAGGAAAAAAACGGCTCCATCACTCACGCAAGCCCGTCAAGTCACATAACATCAGGCGTATTTGTCATGAATACCCCATTAGTGTCTAAAGACTCGCATAGTTCGGCTACTTAGAACACACACACAAGCATCACTAACTTATAATGGAGCACCCACTGACAGCCCAAGTGGCCACAAGTCACGCCAGTTCCAGGGCTGTTTGGTCAGAGTGTATGATGATCAAACGGTCCTTGAACTCCAGGCGACCCCACTTCTGTTCATTCTCTTTCAGTGACGCATTTTCGATAATAGTTTCCATTAGAGGTCACGGCGCGGTCAAGAAGCTATTCACGACAAAAAACTGACACTTATTGTTGCAGGCTTATGACCGATAGGGTCGACTGCGATATTTTGACGTGCGTTTGTCGCTCCTGCGCATGTGCCCTGGACAATAGTCTATGTCCCTGTCTTTCGGAGAAACCCTGTCTTGTTTGTGCCGTTTCCAAAGCGCCGGTCCTCATAGCTTACAGAAAAAAAAAACACTGTCGCTGTAACTTGCTCGCATACCAAGGGATCAGAATGTCCCCAAAATATTAGCTCCGCTTTACGTGTTGACATGCAATTTAGCAATGATTTACTATGCTTAAGGGAACTCCATTTGCCTTCGCACAGTAAACAATTGCCAAACACGCTACAATTTCATTGATAAATTATTATTATTGCTGTAAACTAGCATGCCTTGGATATTGGGGCGTCAACATGGGCAATTAAATTGTCTGTTACTTTGGAGCTCATCACGGTACTTGCACAAATACACAGGTCGCGTAACACTCTCATAGTAATTTCTTTTTCTCAATATAAATTCAAAGTAACCAGAACCTCGTAATGCGTTCACTTAGAAGACGGTTAATCTGTAGCATAAAATGTCCGCCAAGTCACTCCTGCTAAAGATACATCTCTCATATAGCCACATCTAAGCATATGTTTTCAATGCTCAATAGTTCCCCTATATCGTAAGAGATTTGTAATTCTAACTATTTATATAGGCCTACACCTACCAGTTCAACCCCAGAAGTAGCAAATATTTCTACCAAGAAATAATACCTACTGAAAAAGTCGCACTTCGCATTAGGCACCCACATGACACACGCACATACGCGAACGCCGAGTATTTGTGACTCATCCACCATTCATCAATCTGCAGAGAAATCGCCCCCGCTTGCATACACTGCGTGGGGCACATTCCGTCCCATTTTGCAGTGCCTTACATGCCTCCACCAAAACTGCTCACCGATAAAGACCACAAAGCTAAGAACCATCCCGAGAGGAACGATCATCAGGATAACGAACACATCACCGAATGTCATCTCCCTGAAACCTGCAGGCCTTTCGCAAATAGCATCGTTCGACTTCAGCCACTGGCCTTTGATGCGTTTCAGCAGTCCCTCTTCGTTCAACCTCCTCATGACCTGGTTGATTCTACCACGAAGATCTTCACGTCCTTTCGCGATGGCCATGTAGACTTCATTGGTCTTCACAGGAAGGTCAGGTATGGGGACGAGGCTACAAGTTTCTTCGCGAAGGATTCTGAAGACGGGGTCGATGTTGACGTAGGTGAGTACTTTGGTCTCCAGCGTCCGCTGTGTGCTGGCTCGGTTCCAGTAGATGTCAATGATTCCCTCGCGTGCCTGCGACCTCCGATATAGAGCTCGCTCCTCCTCGCTGCGACTTTGTTTCCAGTCGTTAAGTATCGAGTGGCCCGGTTGAACAGCTAGCCTCCAGCCGGGCTGTTCGTGAAACTCGCGGAGGGATCGGATGGGAAGATCCTGCTTGGGTACGGTCAAGTAGGATATGAGGTTGGCCGTGTAGCTGGCGTAGATGATGATGCCCAGCATCCAGCTACAACTGGTAACGATCCTGACTGCCACAGAGTTTGGGGCACTCTCCCAACCCTGGCCAACCAGCGAGCGAAAACTGGCGAGCAGACAAGCGACCCAGCCCATACGCTCCACCGTTTGTCGACTCTCTGAAGCAGCATGGCTACATCGCACCACCACTCGAAGGGCCGCAGCGAGAGCAAGCAGCGCAACCAGCAGCGTCCACCACACATCTGGGTGAAGCGGTTTCAGCAGCGAACTCAGCGTCTCGGTTGTCACTTCAGGTACCAGGTGACTCGATGCTCTAACGTAGAACTTGCTGTGAGTCCGAGTCACCGACACAGCGTCGATGTAGTCGATCACCGTTGCTCTGTCTGAGCGCATATCCAGCGTCGTGACGGCGATGTCGGCTCTCCCGTAGGCTAGCTCTCCGACCATGCCGTTCCACGTGCCGTTGGCTTCCATGCTCCCGTAGAGGGGCTTCAAGAGCGGCACCATGCGGTAGCGCAAGCCGAGCTCGTGAGCGACGGTGTCCCAGAGGTCGTAGAGGTAGCCCTCGCACGTGGTTGTACCGTTGGGTAACACTGTCACCGTCATAAGCGGTGGGTTGTTCACAGTGGTGACCCGCAGCTCTTCGTCGTCTATAATGCCGGAAGAAGACACCAGGGGTAACGACCATATTTGATTTGTAGAAGAAACGCTGCCTTCTTGCGACATTGCCGGAATCGAAGGACGGTGCCGGTTGAAGTTATGACAGATCGCAGACTCTCGCTATAAAGAGCAACGTTTCTGAAGGAGCGCCTGTGGTCCTCTTGGGTCAGATCCACAAACCATTTAGCAACAAACTCACCACTGTTTTCTTATAAATATTTCCGTCTTGTGGTAATTGCAGCTTGTTTTCAACACCATTGCATTAAAAGAATTAACATTGGCAATTTTCTTGCGAAAATAAACGTCAAACGAACGAACTTCTTTTGTCAGCACCAGAAGTAAGAGCAGCAGCGTTGGCGCTGAGTGTTTCAGCAACCTTTCGATGGCGACTGGCGAAATGAACAAACAGCAGTAGTGCTGGCCACGAAGCAGTGAGGTGTGTGCCGTGCGGCCCCACCGATTTAGTGACTGCGATCTAACCGCACGACAGCAAGCTTCGTGAGGAGATCGATGGACCAATGGCAGAGTCCCCTGCCTCTATACCAGCATGCATTGTGCTTTAGACAGTGCTCCGTCACGAAGGTAAACTTGGCTTACAGAGTTAGAATAATAGCGAATGAGGGGCATGCAGTATAATTTCATTGCTGATTTTGAGCTATCTAACCGTTGGAGTTTTGCCGTAGAAAAAGTTATTGAATATGTGTTATTCAATTATTTCGTACTCCGAAATTCATTTGAGGTTCATCTGGTCTCTTAGCTTTGTGATATCAGCCTGATTTCAAACTCAATTCCAAAGGGGAGAAAAGTTGGCCCCGGCATTTCCAACAACTTATTAATCATTTTAACGGGGTTCATACGATACACGCAATCCTTGCATTGCAGCATATGCGTTCCCGAGAATTGCCATGTGTCCCAATTTCAGCTCAGTAAGGAGCAATTTCAGTAATGTGCACAGATGTAAACGTCGGTCATATATCAAGCTTTCCATGAATTAGTTGCATCCATTATCAACACAATATAGGTAGGCATGAGCAAGCTTTGCAGTAACGTCAAATAGAACTGGGTTGCTAATGACTTTGTGGTTACGTCCGGCTAAACTGATGTTCATTGTCGCCATATAGGTATCTAACTAAAGACATTTGCATTTGGGGGCGTGAGTCATGAATGAAATGTAATTAGGTTCCATAACCACATTTCGAACGGTTGACAAAATTTACTGCCAACTCGGAAAGGAGAGCGATAACGAAAGATTGTAAAGCGTGTAGCAGGGAAGAACAATGCTTTCCAAGTAGAACGTTGGGCGAAGCTCTGTTGGTGTTTTGCTTTGGAACACATAAAGAAAATAAATTGGATTTCGTCAATCGGAATATAAGTTTAGGCATATAGGTAGCGTCATTAAAGCCAAACCTAATATCACCTAATTTTAACCCGCGCACCGACGGGGGTCTGCGCCAACTTGCAACCGACGGGGGACGGATGACCGCCCCCCCCCCCCCCTGAGATCTCGAGAACGAAGCAAGATAGCGACAAGCGGTAAACGGCATGGGGTACGCACGGACAAGATCTACAATTTTTACGAAGGTCATTTTCAGGTCAGGTCAAAGATTCACAGGGGTCAAAAAAGTCAAAATGGCGGCGCTAGATATGAAGAGAGTTTTTCTCGAATAACGTTCGAATTAGTCAAGCTAGGAATAAACTAAGAGGACATCATCGTGATCCTCATGTCAATCCGCATCGAATCATAGGTATATATGTTGACCTCGAAAGGTCAAGGTCAAAGGTTGACCTCAGGTCACGTGACCTCGAGGTCATCATGTATATCATTCGATGCGCCTTGTCCAACTAAACACAATGAGACCCATGCATCCGCGCGGCTGTATCTTATTCCTGTAAGGAGTTTAATGGCAAAAAACCGTTGGTGACATTTGATGACGTCACATGACCTTACAGCTAGCCAACAGCAAAACAGGCATCAAGGTATTGAAGGTTGATCGTATATGAAGTCATGTATGGTATATGGGGCCATTCCGACGCGTTTTATTGGAAAAACAGGGAGTTGATTTTTCCCCCATTGACTTAGGCACCTATAATGGGGAGGTCGAGAAATTGACCTGACCTTAGGTCATCGATATCGAAATTCTGAGATATACAAATTGTAGCTACCAATGACCTAATAACATCCTGCGACTTTCAAAGGCCTCCGTCATCTACTGTAGCTCTGACACTGTGGCAAAGTTGCAAAAAAAAACTAAAAAGTGACTTGAGGTTGGGTCATTCAAAGTGACCTGGTGACCTGACCTTAAAAAAGTTAGGAGGTTCAAACTTGCACACCATGTGTAAAATTGATGAGAGAATAGTCAGGCCAAATTTCGCGGCACTACGCGCCACGGTTTTTCCGCTATTCACGAAAAACCTCAGGGGGGGGGGGGCGGATAACAGCCCTCCCCCCGTCGGCATGCGCGGGTTAATGACTCATTTATTGCCATTATTATTTGGAGTGCAGACTGTTGGACAGGGCGCTATATAAGAGCGCTCACCGCTCGGCCACCCTAACGTTAATCTCCTCGTCACATAAACAACCCTAATATCACGACTCCCGACAAGCACAAGTACCCCGATAACCTGCGCACCAAACCTCTGTGGTCTAACGCCACATCGACCTGCGTATTTCATTATGGCTCAGCCTCAATGAATGGCTGCCAGTCACCTAAGGTCAGACACAGACACACAGAACGACTCGTACGGGCCCCCTCCACAATACGCCGAGGACCGCTGCAGTGCACGCAAACCACTCAGGTGCCTGACAGCCTGATCTATTGAGTTCCTGACTGAGTGCTTGCTGCATTGTGTTGTGTTATGTTTGTGTTGTGTTGTGAGTGTTGAACGTTTAGAGCACCGGCGCCGATGAACAAGCCGGAAATGTGTAGCGTGAGCTGTCCAACAAACGAGGTGATGAGCCAATTAAATCTCGATAAATGACACGAGATACACTCTAAAAAAAATGCAAATATTGCAAAGAAATATGCAATTGGTAACAAGGATATATATTGCATGGTATAGTCGATATATGCAAAAAGATAGGTACATGCAAATCGTCATTCGCAAGGATAAGTACGACGGGCCTTTAGCGCACTGCATGCCTATGGGCATGCATTGCGCTGAAGGCCTCAGGTCGTATCATTGCTGAAGTCAGTACTGCCGAAAGGCTGCCGTGCGGTAGCTCATTAGCAGAGGATACGTTCCCTTGGTCACCAGTCACCACCATCAGTGAGTTCCGCAATCCGCAATGCCCGCCGGACGAAGCACTTACTGCCGGCTTGTTGCTGGATAATCAATGGTAAGCCAACTAGCCAAGCTAGAGGCTCGGAGTCGGCACCACCATGGATGCCACGGTCGGCCAGTTAGGGTTTACCTATTACCTATGTCCCTACTGGCCGTTTTCACGACGGGCTATCCGGCGAGTGCACCTAATTTGAACAAATCTGCACCTAATCTCTTTTACAGCAACAGGCATATAAGCAATTAGTGCAACCCTAGCTGATAACTAGTAAGAGACACACTGAGCCTGATTTGACCAAATCTGCACCAGTAATATGCACCAAATGTGCACCAAATGTGTACCAGATGGGACCAGAAACCCTCGCATGCACCACAGCCTCGGAGACAGTGCCATCAGCCGAGGAGAAGGATCACCAACTCAATCACAACGCGTCATCATAGATCACCAACTCAAGTTTCACGAGCAGACAGCGGCTGCAGTGTCGAAGGCCTCTCAGGTGTCGTCGGTCATCAGGCGGTCATTTGCGAACCTGGACTCAAACACCCTCCCATTACTATTCAAGACACTGGTGAGACCGCTGTTGGAGTATGGGAACCTCGTATGGGGTCCGTCTAGTAAGCTGGATCAGAAGAAGGTTGAGCGGGTGCAACGAAGAGCTACTCGCCTGGTACAAACTGTCCGACACCTGTCGTATCCAGAGAGGTTGCGCGCGCTGAAGCTCCCTTCGCTGTACTACAGACGTCAACGGGGAGATATGATAGCTGTCTATCAGATTCTGCATGGTGGCATGGCGGTCCCCACCGAGAAGCTGCTCACCAGATCAACTTCAGGAAGAACAAGAGGCCATGAGTGGAAACTGGTGAAACCGCGGGCCACGACGTTCATCCGAAGACACTCTTTCAGTGCACTCGTCATTAACCCATGGAATGCTCTCCCGCAAGCAGTCGTATCAGCTACGTCAGTCAACCAATTCAAGACCAGGCTGGATGCCCATTGCCCACTGCCCACTGGGCTGACATCATGTGCAAGGCCTTCCCACCTGAACCCGATCTTACCCAACCTGAGGCTGACTGTCCATAAGCACTGGGAGCTCGCTGAGACCGGGCCCCACAGGCCAAATTGGCCTCCCACAACCCGTATACCGTAAGGTAAGGTAAGGTAAGATGGCCGTCGTAAAAACGGCTATTAGCCGTTTAATAATTAGAATTATTTATATGATATAATATAAGTCATTTGCTTATACATAATATAATTATAATTATAATATGAAAGATTGATGGAAATACCTATTAAAACATGCTACCGCCGTCTTTCGTATCCGTTCAGGATCAGTGGGGATATAGCAACCTTCCCACCGTAGGTCCCCGATGAAGGGTCTGCTCTGCTGGGTAGGTACTGGATGGATTCTGGACTCGAGCATCAGACGCAACAATAATGGAAATTGATTCACTAATAGCACGATAGTCGACCATCGTGGGACGGTACGGTAGTAGTGACATTTACAGTGACATTTACAGCAATTATCAAAACAGTTGCGGTTACCCTTTCTATTAGCTAAATGCTACTCGGCATGCTACTAATGCAAATTATTACGTGGAGCTTATTCGCCTGTTACACAGGATGTTACAGCCAAATGCCAATATTCACCGTTCATCGTCCAGCGTTTTATTTTCTTCCCTCGCCGGCACAGGGGGGCGGGGGGATGCAGCCCCCCTAAGGTTTTTCGCGAATAACTCGCGTAAAAAGCGGCTGATCGAGACGAAATTTTCAGTACCCCCGCATTGATCAATTTTACACCTACCCTGAAAATTTCATGACCCTGACCCAAATGACCTTTGACCTATGACCTACTTTCCGAGACCATGTTTGGCCGGAATCGCGATTCGGCGTATGTCGGCTCACATTAGCCGCGCGTTTGCAAGCTTTTCGTGGTTTCAAACGTTCAAACATGTGATTTGATGTTGCTCCCATGCATTAGGGTGGATGTCAAGGTCACCTGAAGGTCAGGTCAGGTCATTGACCTTTGTTGACCTCGTTCACTTTTTCGAGTTTTACATATTTCTAGGCTAGTTTTTGGAGCTGATTTCGAATTTAGCAACCATTTGAACATTTAGATTTACGAAGTAGTTTTGGTGCCGTCGTAACATGTTACGAAGCTGTCAGAGGCGGTTGACACGTATTACGAATACCCGTCACGTCCCCTACCGGTTGACCTGACCTGACATGACCCGACCTGGTCTAAATGCTTAACCCGCGCCTCACTGGGGGGGGGGGGGGGGCTATTCATAGCCCTCCTCCCGTTTTTCTGAAATAACTTCCAAATCGCTTGACATATCGACGTCAAACTTTCAGTACCTTCGGCTGCATCAATTTGACACCTTGTGTCAAAATTTAAACTTCGTAGTTACCATAGGTCGGCCGGAAATGACGTCAGAGTGACGTCATGTTGGGCCGATTTCGACGCAAAACATTGAACCACGGCAATCGCTCCCAAGGGCTCAGTTTTTAAGCTAGATCCAATTTCTTTGCATGAGAGGACTCAGAATAGACTGCGCTATCAAACTGCCATCTCGGATTTTCGAAATTTTGAAAATTTCGAAAATTTTATATAATAAAATTCAAAATTTACATTTTTACTTTTTTCAAAAAGTTGTTGACTTTTCGAAAAAAACCGGAATATATGTGATAGAACGCGTTATTATGACTAACTCTAGCAAGTTTTAGCTAAATATCTTCAAAAATGGCCAAGTTATACGCATTATTGCAAAAAATTCACAATTATTAATTTTTCAAATCATTTTTTTTTTCACCACGTATTTGACATCGTACGCCAATATAAATAGCACCATCGTGTTCCTGAGCTCAAACTGCATCCAATAGACACCTTTTCTGTTGAAAATTATAACTTCAAAATTTGACCTTTTTTGACCTGAAAGTGACCTGACCTAAGCTAAATTCGACTCAAAATGACCTCCAATGACACAGACGACATCAAATTCGAAATGTTTGGCCTAAATGGACCATAAAACATGTGTCACGTGACCGACGCATGATATAATATTTTCGTGACCTGTGATGACCTGACCTTGACTTGAAAATCAAAGTACAAGTTTGGTACCCTCAGGGTATCTAGAGCATCTGTTCACGTGTGTGTGAACCAAAAATGAGCCTGATCTGACTTGTAAGACGGCGGCCAGAGCCCAAAACGTGAACAAGCCAAAATGCTAATAATTTTTACTTTGACCTGACCTGCAGGGGCGCGGGAACTACTTTCCGACTGGGGGGGGGGGGGGCACACCATAATAGAGATTAACCTAGGGTACCCCCAAATCTAGTTTTCTCACCGATTTTAGGCCACTTATTTTTCACCCCTCGGCTTTTTCAACAAAAAAAAGAAAACATTTGCAAAAAAAGTGTGGTATTCCGTCTCAAAGCTGTGGGGGCACCGCTCCCACGGCCCCAGAGTTGGGGGGGGGGGGGGGCAAGCTGCCCCCACTGCCCCCCCCCCGGCTCCCGCGCCTATGCTGACCTGTGACGTCATCGGTGACCTCGAGGTCAATGAAATTAGGTTTCGCTCGACAGTTTTTCCGGGGCTATCAGACGCCGTTTGAATTTTGACGATCGGCCCAGTAGTTTCGGAGTTAGGAGGGGGGGCTATGAATAGCCCCCCCCCCCCCCCAGTAGGGCGTGTTATATACGCAGACCCCAGTGGAGCGCGTGTTAAAGACATCATCTCTGATCAAAACTAACACGATATCCGTGATCAGCACCCCGGAAAACCCCATAGCAGCCATACTTTACGACTTTCTAACAGATCCCGATTTTCCCGATTTTCGGGTCATTGACCTGACCTGGAAGGTCACCCGATGACCTACAGACCTAGGACCTTAACCCGGCGGCCGCTGGGCCTCCGCGCCACCCGCCGGCCGCTGGGGGGGCGGGGGGCATATAGTTGCCCCCCTTTACTTCTGCACGACGATATCGTCGCAACGCGAAGAGATAGAGAAACGAAACTTTGCACACATCTTCCTGAATACCTAGCCGAGGTTGTGTCCAAATTTGGTGTCGATCCCATTTGAAATGACGTCACAGTGACGTCATAAGTGAAATTATAGATATGCGACTCTCATATTCCTCACGATACATCAGATATATGTGACCGAATATAAAGGGCCGATTATTGGTCAGAAACTAGCGAAACTAGATGGAAGTGTAGTTAGATGTTTTAGGATGACAGCAGGTGCTGTCTAGTTCATTTACAGTCGAGTTTCATGCTCAGCGTCATCAGAAACGGTCTATATCGGAAAACGACAAAACTTTATGACGTCACTGTGACGTCATCTTAGGTGCTACAACTACAAAACTCTCCTCAAACATTGCCTAGGTATTCATTTGAAGCTATGCCAAGTTTCACGTTCGCAGCTCATCAGCTTTCGGAGATATTTCACAAAACGTAAAGGGGGGGGGGAACTTCATGCCCCCCCCCCCCAGCGGCTCGTGGGTTAAAATTGGGTGTCATCGGCTTCTTCTCAGTCGTGACGGGCAACACGCTCGTTTTTTTCCGCGAAGCTCTAGCTCGATCAGGGGCCAAACGCGAGAGGGGTGTTGCCACCCCCTCCCCCTTGTGCCGTCTAATGACACGAAATGGCCTGTGCCGGCGAGGGAAGCTCCGACACGACTACCTAGTATGTACAGGTCTCGCGAGATTAAGCGGTAGGTTTTGCACCTTAATATTTCCGGTTATATCTCAGAAACTAATCGATCTACGATGAAGCCATTTTACACGATCATGGCCGGCTTGTTACCCAACAAACAAGTCGATCGCATCTTCAACACTTGAAAGCATAGCCAAAGATATAGCCTGAAGTACACTAAATTTTCTAGGTGCAAAACCTACCGCTAAAACCCGCGAGACCTGTACCTACTATCCTTTCTACAAGTAGGCTTGGCTCCGCCATCAGAGGTTCCGGTTTTTTCCAGACCCTCTCCCCAATCCCCCCAATAATTTCACTTCTGCTATGTAGCCTCATGCATAAGGTGCATTTTTGGGTGAACAATGAAAATCCCAATCCCCAAACCGTGGCAGAGCCGCTGCAAGTGGGTAACTCATTTATACCTACTTAGTACATTAGACACGAAACCAAGTTTTTGGGGAGAAAACAGTTTAGTGCTAGATTGGCCACTGTATGCTATTTGAAATACATCAATTTTCTCGAAAACATTGTTGTCTTTAAATAATTAATTGCTAAAAATTGCATTAGATAAAAAAATATTAGACATGCAAGCATATTCAGTTGAAAATATATTGTCAAAAAATTATATTTTTCCAATACTCTGATCGTGAAAACGACAACGCTGCACATCCTCTTCGAAGTGAACCTGAGACCTCTCAGTGGCGTTTGCGAGGTAAGGGCCGATTTTCGAAGATTTTTGGGTGTTGTACATGATATTTGAGCTTTAATCTATGCTACGTTTTGTTCTCCATCACATGTTTTGTCACCTTTGTTATTTTTTTGACCTAGCCGCACGTTTGTTCGACGAAAAATGCCCTGTTGATTTAGCACCTCTGCACTGTCAATTCCCTTCATTTTTTTTTTTCGTTTGTCAGATCATAACAATGCCGAAAAATACAATCATTTAATATCAAACCCTAGCTATACAGTGTTAAGTTGTCCAAGAACTTTAGTGTGACCTGGGTATTGCCATGTTTGGATGGAATCTGAAAATGGTGCCAGAGGACATTTAGTCACATGATTCTTGGGATATTCTCACCCTCTTTGTGCTGTTAACAGGCTAATTGTCACATGAAAATGTCAAGTGAATTTCAAGATATTTCATCAAATTGCCAAATGAGCCCTGGTCGAACCACATTGTTTTCAGATTTCACCCGTGTTGGCAGGAAGTTGCTACAGGAA